AGATTTATCATAATCTGGGGAAAGAACAATAGGCAAAATACTATCTTCACTGCCGGAATTAATTTGATTGATTATAGCTTCCAATCGCTCAGCATCATCAGGGTCAACAAGAGATCTAAACGATTCAATTTCGGTAGTATAATCTTTACTTGTAGCATCATGTGTCTTTGTTTCAATTTCCTTAACTGTCTGCATATGTTAGAAAAGTTACGCTTCCATAAATACTAAATTGGATACATAATGTACGTACATTTAATAAGAATAAAATTATAAACTTATCTACCTCTGCTGGGGCATCCATGTTGGTCAAATGAACAACATTTCCCTCTGTATCTACTTCATTTACCATAAAATCAGAATACCTATATGAGTTACCAACAAAAAGAACAAAATTTAATAGATGGACAACTGGTTTATCCTTTTAACCCACAGAAGATGCTGAATTTCATTAATACAATTCAGGAAAATAACAACAACAAAATGCTGAATTTCATATCTTGTGGTTATCGATCTTCAAGTTCCAAACTTTAATTACTATGGAGCTCAGCGCTCATGAAGTTACTCACACCCTCAGTTTCAGTTTTGGAAGCAAATTTCTTGCTACAAAATTTTAGTTTCATTTCATTTTCCTACACATTCCTAACATCCAAACACAGCACAACGAGAGAAATAACAACTTTAAAAAAAAAACAAACAGAACAGAACGCTCATATTTCTCGTACCCTCCCAGCCAGACAACTTCCCAGTAAACACCGTAACGACAAACTACATTTTATTCATGCACACTCATATATATTCAGACCTTTGCTTTAAAATGCCGCGAAATCCAGGGAGTTGAGAGATGTAGCAGAAGATCCCGACGTCTGGTTCCTCTGTAGTTTTCATGGCCGTTATGAATTTCAAGGTGGTTGGTGGTGGTGGACTGGCAGAGCAGTAGGGTTTTAGCATAGAGAAGCACGATGGTACAGGCTTAAGCCACATTTTGATTTCGCGGTACCGCTTTACACGAAAACGCACCGTATTACCGCGAAACCTTGAGTTTTTTATTTTATGCGAAAATAATAAATAATAAATTGTAGGAAGTTACGATTGTGTCCTGACCCAGCGAGAGTGAGCCTGCATAGAGAGTTGGAGAGAAAGAGACAAGTGCAAACTCCTGAGAAAGTGCGTTCTGAGTAAACTCCCTCTCTCTTCCAATCACAGATCCAAAAGCCGGCTAGAGAGAGAAACAAGAGGCTTTGCTTGTCGAATTGGCGAAGATGGTGAGCAAAACAGAGGAGACCCAGTTGAACAGGCTCGAGAACCAGGTCGATAATGGAGGAGGAGGGGCTTGGGAGTACCTCTGCCTGGTCAGAAAGCTCAAGGTCCGGCGTTCCGAGAAGGTGCTAAAGCATGGCTTGTCGATCTTGAACGACATAAAAAAACGATCAAGTCTTGGCCCGGACGGTGAGTTTTGAGCTTCGGTTGTTGGTAATTCCATCTGGGATTGTGTGTTTTTATCAGATTGGTTTGAATTGAGGACGGATTGGAATTGCTTAATACGGTGAAGATTTTGGGTTCTCTGCAATTTGGCGGGTTGATTCTGTGTTAAGTCAATTAGGTTTTTGTTGTGTTGCGTTTGTTTGATCATGATAGCTTGATTTGAATTGAGCATGGATTGGATGGAATTACTTAATGATGAAACAGGCTGAGCTCTGTGCAATTTGATGTGTTTGAATTTATATTAATTCAATGGGCTGTAGTTACTTTGCAGTCTATTCTGTCATAGAAGCTTAATATGAACTCAGTGTAAACAAGGCATGTCTTTGGTTATATGCATCCTCCAATTTAAAGTTCCTCTATATTGGGGAGAGCTTTCGATTTCTGACTAACAATCACTTTGTATTTGTCGATGTAGAATGGACTTTATATGAGCAAGTTGCAATTGCAGCCATGGACTGCCAATGTCTTGATGTTGCAAAGGTATAATATTTGCTTTGGCCTATACTTTTATAATTGCATAGCTTTAATTTTTGGCCTTGCAACTTTAGGCTTCCCTGCTTAGAAGGGGGGTCAAATATTGGTTTTGGTATAACCTACTCTTTATTTGAGAGTTGCATATCTGTGTAAGGCAAATGTGCTTTGTCTTTCCTTTTAAATTAGTTGTAGTGCTCATGTTCTATATTGAGTATATTCTGCAAATTATGGAAAAGTTAAGTACGTTATCTTATGCCTGCCCTACTTGAACTTTTGCAGGACTGCATTAGGCTTTTACGGAAGTCATTTCCAGAGAGTAAAAGAGTTGGTAAGAGGAAATAACTGGTTTTGAAGTCTGATATTACATCCTGTAGTGGTATCAAGATATTTGGTACCTTTTTTATAGGAAAAATATTTGGCTAACTGGAGTGGAAATTAATGTTGTTGGCTGTTGCTATGTGGTGGCTTAGCTATTTTCTTTGGCATAAATCACAGGCAGGCTAGAGGCTATGTTGCTTGAGGCGAAGGGAGCTTGGGCAGAGGCAGAGAAGGCTTACTCGAGCTTTTTGGAGGAAAATCCACTCGATCAAGTAAATCATATATAAATTCTTCTTGCAAAGATGGATACGTTTATTTCTCTTTTATATGAGAAAAATAACGTCTTTTCTGAGGAAAGATAAAGGAAAACGATTATTTATTTTTCTTATGCAGGTAATCCATAAGAGAAGAGTAGCTATGGCGAAGGCACAAGGAAATATTTCAGTAGCCATTGAGTGGCTTAATAAGTATCTGGAAATGTGAGGCATATGTTAAATTCCGTGAAAGAAAATTATTTTATGTCTGCAAGAAAAAAGTTGCTAAGTTGTCTTTTCCCCCTTTTGGCAGATTTATGGCTGATCATGATGCTTGGAGAGAGCTGGCTGAAATATATGTTTCCTTGCAGATGTATGTTTCTGGCAGACTTATCAAAACTTAGTAGCTTCAAATTGCCTATGCTTTGTTGTCAATTGATAAGTTGTGTCTCTCTGTAAACTAGGTACAAGCAAGCTGCGTTCTGCTATGAGGAGCTGATATTATCTCAACCTACTGTTCCACTTCACCACTTAGCATATGCTGATGTATGTAACCTTTTTTTTTCCTTACTGTCCAATAATTCCTTTTCTTTTTTTTTTACATGAACTTTTTCTTTGTTGGTTTTCACGGCTAAAGAATAATTGTGATTAAAGAAAAGCTCCTTGTACCCTCTTGTTGAAGGGTGTAAAAAGTAACCTAAATCTTCTTATATCATCTCCCAAATTACTGTTACACTATACCAGCCTCCCTTGTTAACAATGAATTTCAGCTAGAGTCAAGACCGGCTTCTTTTTTTTATAAAGTTAGCCATTAAACTGAAAAAATTACATACTAGAGTCAAGCTAGAGTCAGAGTTAGGATAGGATATCCTGAAATAGAGGGCCAATGAGAGAATTGATTTTGTGTATGAACTCCAAATATGAACACCTTGTATCTAACTTGCAATGAACAACCTTGATAGTTGATCTTTTGTTTCCGTGCTATTTGGAAACAACAAAATGTGAGTCCTCTGAGAAAGAAGTAATGTAGCATTGCATATTCAACATGTGGCCATGATTACATGCTTTAACAGCACTAAAGAATCCCATTAAAAAGCGAGTAAATGTCTGATATTATGCTCTCTGTGGTCAACAGGTGCTTTACACACTTGGTGGACTAGAAAACCTTCAGACAGCAAAAAAATACTACGCATCCGTTATAGACTTGACTGGGGGCAAGAATATCAGAGCACTTTTTGGTATTAACTTGGTGAGCTCTCTCTCCCTCTTGAGGTGCATTGATTCAGAGATACACACACATATATATTGGAGTAATTCAAGTTTTAGACCATCGCTGATCCTGCTGGAGCTTAGAGTTATCTATTACTTTCTATTTTCCCATCTGAGTTATTTTTGGTGTATTCGTATGATTCTGAAATTGGACACCTGCTATTTAATTTCATTATTCAAATTGTTCTGTCTGAGCCCTTTCTTTTATCCATCTTGTCACCAACTTGAATTACTGAAAGAAAGTGTTTAACTTCTGCCTTCTTCCAGTGCACTTCTGCCATTGGACAGCTTGCAAAAGGAAGGAACAAGGAAGACAAGGAGAGCGCAGAGCTACAATCACTGGCAGCAACAGCCTTGGAGAAAGACTACAAGCAGAGAGCTCCCGACAAACTTTCCCTGCTTACTACTGCCTTAAAAAGCTTGAAAGTTTCATCATAACTCCTCTGTCTTTGAAGAATCTTCGTATAATTGCCCCGACTCCGATAGCAATATCATAGTTATGTTAAATGATTTTTTGCCTTTCTTCTTGGTTTGTGTCTTTTTTTCCCAAGTCCTTAATAAGAGGACGTGATGTATTCTTTAGGATGCCAGTGCCACAGTGGCTAACTAGGAATGTATGAGTGAGTAGTGAACCACCATTTCCCTTCACATTTACTTTCAGATTTGCACCTCCCGACTGTGTCTTTTGTGGGTTTAATCTTCTTTTTTCCATTTCTTTTTTTCTACTGATGCAATGCAACTATTATATTAGGAGGACATTGATGCTATTCTTTCCCATCCTTTCCTTTCCTCAGCCAATTTTCACTTTTCAGTTTTCGGGCAATATTATTAATTATTAATTTGTTTAAATAACTTTTCTTTTTTAATTAACTTTATTAAAATCATGTTTAGTTTGTATACTGACTAAATTCTTATAAATAAATTGAATAAGGTGTTCAGATAAGAGGGAGAATAAACGTGTGATACATTTATCCTTTTTATTTTTGGAGGAAGAAATTTAGAAGAGACGATGGAAAATATATATAACCCAAGCTATAGAAAATAGAAAAGGGTATAATCCAAAATAATATAAAATATATTTTTCCATCAGAACCAAAAACAAAAGATATGTAATTTGCAAAAACAACAATTAAATTTTTTTTAATTTTAATGATGCCATTTTCGTAAATAATCGCATTAAGTAGTGGCAATACAAGCTGAGAAAGACAATATAACCCCACTGTCTAAAACTAGGGTTTGTGCTCTAGCTCATCTCTCGTCGTCATTGCCTCTTGTTCGCGTACCTGAGACCTAGCCACCTTTCCTCTCACAACATGGCCGTCGGGTACATCTCCCTCCTTCTCTCTATCTATCTCTCTCAAAATACTTACATGCGCATTTATATGCCTGTAAATTTTTTTGTTGGTTCTCATTTGACTCAAATTGTGACGAATTTGCAGTAAGAACAAGAGGATTTCGAAGGGTAAGAAGGGTGGGAAGAAGAAGGCGTAAGTTGAATTCACAAGCCCCTGGTTTTGTTTGGTCTTATTTCATATATGTAAAATGTGTATTATATTGTTAATTATAAAAAATATAGAGTTGGTTTTTTGTAAGAATCATATTTTGAGGTTGACATTATTGAATAATATGATGCAGAGCTGACCCATTTGCCAAGAAGGACTGGTATGATATCAAGGCTCCTTCTCTCTTCACAGAAAGGCAGATTGGCAAAACACTTGTCTCCAGAACTCAGGGCACTAAGGTCTCACTCTCTCTCTCTCTCTCTCTCTCTCTCTCTCTTTGTGTGTGCATATGTATGGATATAATATTATATGTATCTGTGTATTGGGTAATATTTTATGGTTTTTTTATTATCTAACATCCCCTGTAGAGCAGTTTGATTTAGATCAGGGAATAAGGAAGCCATGTATTTGTTGTGCTTTAATCATTGTGGTGACCTGCACTGATTAATATCTGATTTGTTGCTTTTATTGAATTCTGATGGTTTGTTTTCATCATTATCGAACAGATTGCTTCTGAAGGACTCAAGCATCGAGTGTTTGAGGTTTCTCTGGCTGATCTCCAGAAGGATGAGGAGCATGCTTACAGGAAGATCCGGCTAAGAGCGGAGGATGTGCAAGGGAGGAACGTACTCACTAACTTCTGGGTATGGTACTGCATAACTGCTATTAAATTTTCTTGAGTAGTATATAAGATATGGTGTATTTTTGTTTGAGTTGTGAACATTGAAGTATATTTTGGTCTTTTCTCTATTTCCAGGGAATGGATTTCACCACTGACAAGCTGAGGTCATTAGTGAGGAAGTGGCAGACACTGATTGAGGCTCATGTGGATGTAAAGACTACTGATAACTACACCCTTAGGATGTTTTGCATTGCATTTACCAAGAGGCGTACAAACCAGGTCAAGAGAACCTGTTATGCCCAATCCAGTCAGATTCGTCAGGTTTGTTTTAACGTTTCATTCTCTCTTCCATGTTGTTTATTCTCTGATTCCAAGTAGCAATGTTGGGTTGCTTTATTTTTGGTCTCGTGCTCTTGTTAGATTCGACGCAAGATGAGGGAAATCATGATAAACCAGGCTGCATCCTGTGATCTGAAGGACTTGGTGGCAAAATTTATTCCTGAGAGTATTGGCAGGGAAATTGAAAAGGCAACATCCAGCATCTACCCACTGCAGAATGTTTTCATTCGAAAAGTCAAGATCTTGAAAGCTCCCAAATTTGATCTTCCCAAATTGATGGAGGTATGTGTATCATGCAGGTTTCCTCTCCAGTTTCAGTTTCATGTTTCTCTGTGTAATCAGATTCTCTGTCTTGTTGTGGTGTATGAACATGCGTAGATGAGTGCTATTTAGCAATGATCAGTGGGTTTCTGAAGTTTTTCTGTTCTGTTGTCACTAGGTTCATGGCGGAAAAGAGGACGTCGGTGTGAAGGTGGACAGATCAGCTGAAGAAACAGCGCCCGAGGGAGAGACCGAAGTTGTTGGAGCATGAAGCTAGCTGTGCTTTATTAAGCCATCATTTACTTTACTTTTAGGGGAGTTTTGTTTGTCTTTTCAGACAGATGCAGAGTTAGTGCATCCTTGAGAGTGTATTTGAACATTGTCTAGCAGTTGATGTTCGATTATCACATGAAAGATGCTTTAGTAATTCTTTTAGAAAAATTTTGTATTGTCGACATATGGTCATCCTTTTCAATGTCTGATTCTTTCGAATACAGCTGCTGAGGTTGAGCTACTTGTGATATTTTCTGCTATCCGAATGTTTACCCAGCCGGCCCATTGAATATTGTAGGAAAATTGCCTTGCTTTTTAACGCCATTGAGGAGAGTCTGCATTGCATTTTGGGAATTAATGTTCGCTATTTGCTATGGTCATGTATGTGGTTTTTTCTTTTTACATAAGCCAAAGGAGGTAGTGTCGACATATGGTCATCCTTTTCAATGTCTGATTCTTTCGAATACAGCTGCTGAGGTTTTGCTCTACTTGTGATATTTTCTGCTATCCGAATGTTTACCCAGCCGGCCCATTGAATATTGTAGGAAAATTGCCTTGCTTTTTAACGCCATTGAGGAGTCTGCATTGCATTTTGGGAATTAATGTTCGCTATTTGCTATAGTCATGTATGTGGTTTTTTCTTTTTACATAAGCCAAAGGAGGTAGCTGCTATAAAATTTTCATTTACCATTTACTCAAAAAATAAAAATAAAAATAAAAACCAATTGAACTGATGCTACAGCCTTATTAGCTGTAGTCGGATTACTGTTTCAAATCGAAGCCATTCATAAACCAAGTTCATGAAGTTCTTTTTATTTCTGTTCTAGCAATAATTCTCACTACCAGCAAGGATGCGGCTGTGCTGCTCCGGCAATTTGATATTATCTTAGCATATTTTCCAGTTGATTAAAAGACTATGCAAAGAAGAAACAGTAAACTACACATCCGATAACATTGAATAGAAGACATCAGGTAAACTTGAGTCCTTGGTGATTTTTGGGGCAACAACTCTTATCATAAGAAAAGATAAATTTTGCAAAAAGCCACATCTGTGATAAAATTTGTATCACAACAATGCAGCAAAGAATAGATAGGCCTTAAGCCTCAGCATTACAAAGGAAAACGCAAGGGCTTGACTGGAGCTTGTGGGAAGTCAATGCTTCCGTGGAGATGCAAGAGTTGGGAATGGTGGAATGGATCTCAGAACTAACTTCCTGCCGCCCCTCCAAGCAGCTGACCCGAACTCACTACCGCCGTGAGGAGGTGAAACCCTCTTTGAGTTTGGAGAGGTTGACTTCACACCACTGGGTTGTGAGCAGCTATTATCCAATGCCTCAAGAGTTCCCTCTTCCGGAATTACCTGAAGATGCTTTTCAGGCTGAGGAGATGACAGAACAGAATGTAGAGAAAATATTTTCGGTTTCCCACTAAAACTGGCTGTGAGTTGGCCTGAGGGTCTACAAAACAAAATAACCTTCAAACATTTATAACATGAAGTTACATACAGTCCATCAATCTAACAAATCAGTCGATTAAAAACCTGCAAATCCCAGAAAGTGTCATTGGGAGATCTTGATCCTTCACTCTCCCTAAGCTGACGTCTGTTGCATCCTTTTTCCAAACTCGTGATTTGTGTTCTTCAATTTCACTTTCTTCAGCTTCTATTTGATAAAGAAGAAGAATAAATTGAAAGTACAAAAATTTGTCGATCCTATTAGAAACATAAAATAATTTGTTAAATTTCGTATGACCACTCTTTTTTTTTTTCCTATTTTTTCGTTTACTTGCACTACGTATGAAGCACATATACAGGGTAAGGCAAGTAGCCCTCTGTTAGCTATGAGATCCATCATATAAATCATGTTTGCTCACCATCTTTCCGACCGAAAGTGTTTTTACACCCTATGCATCGGCAGAGAATGGAGCATCCAGCACCACCCTTGATAAACAAATTAAAGGGCCCATATCAGTTGGTAGATATATATCAAAATATTACAGAGATTTAGAAGAGCGTTACATTCATAAGAAACAGACTAAAAGTTGGTACCTGGAAGCATTCACAGTATTTTTTCAAGCAACCTGATTTTCTACAATTGCATCCCCTTTTATGCCTAGCTGAAGTTGGGGTGGAGTTAGTTTCCTCCTGCATGGGGGAAATTGTGAGTCTACAAGGTTATAATTTATAGCACAATGCAAATTTCATAAGAAAATAGTAGCAGATAAATCATGGCATCCAACCACCACAACACAATCCTCACTATGACTTTTGTGATAAATGATCTCTCCAATCAAAAATTGGATTGCAATGCAGTGGTGCCTCCTAAATCTGATGTTTCGATCACTTATTTTCATGTCAGAACGTATAATGTCAGTCATAATTTCTAACCCCAAATTGTGGAGCAGCATTGATGCTACCAATCACTTTAGGAGCAAATGCAAGTGGGTTGCGAGATTCAATCAGTCTGCGAGTCTCTACAACAATGTTTTCGTAAATAGGCTTGTTGAAGCATTCTTGACATGAACAAGGCTCAATACAGTAGAGACCAGCAGCAAAACAGTCACAGTAACTGCGTCAGTGAACATAGGAGGTCAGACTAGGAGAGGAATGGAAAAGAAAGAAAATGCTAAAATACTAATCAGTCAATATAATGCAATAAACTCACATTTTTAGAGATAAAGTACACGCAATAATAGGCAGGTACAAAAAAAAACTCACAGTTTCAGGCATTTTGACCTCTTACAGTTACATCGCTTGCAGGCCAAGCTTTCTCCTACATGTTTTGACTTAAGCCTGCAAGGTATCAAACGTTAAAACAATAGATTTCAAATGGTGAGGTAAAAAAGAATATGGTAGTCAATAGAATCTTCTGCACATGCCTTTTATTCTCAGGACTACTATGGTCAGATTCTACACCAACTGGTGCACATGCTTCGGGAGGAGTTTCTGCAATATGAACTTCACTTTTGCATGATTCATCACGAGAAACCTCACTGGGAGTCAAACAAGTACTAGATATCTTGGAGTTCGGAGTCTCTGTTACTTGACTCTCAGAAGCCTGAGTCTCATGGTTTACAACTTTACTTGAGTTACTTTCACTAGTAGTTGCAAGAGCATTCAAGTGCAAACCAATACCAGGTAACCTAGAAGATGAATAATCACAACCTGCTGTAGTTCGAATCAACTTTTTTTCTACAAGGGTGACTTCACAATTGGACTGTAATGGGACTGAATAACTGCCACTAGTATCACATATTGATTTCCTTTTGTGAGTTTCTGCCCTTTCAAAATCCAAACACCTCCTGCTTATTGCGTACGACTGAGAACTATGCTGAACATGGTTAAACAAAATTGTTGCATTATTATAAAGTCAAAATGTATGTACTTGAGACTCTGTGAGTGCGTCTGTGTGTGTGTGTGTGTGTGAGAGAGAGAGAGAGAGAGAGAGAGAGAGAGGAAAAATTCATAAAAAATAGAGTAGGGAATGCCAAGACATGAAATGAAAGTCATCGGAACCATTGAGTCATTAACCTCTACAAAAAATATTAGTCAAACCAGTATATTACCTTGCAGCTAGAATGGATACACTTTGGGCACTTGTCATCCACATTTAACTTATCCAGCAAATTTCTAGAAAGTATTGCTGGTGCTTCATCTGTTTCCTTCAAGTCCCCAATACCTTCTGATTGATTACTGAACTTTCCCAATTCATATTGTTCACTAGAATCAATAGGACCAGATTCCATCACCTCCATACCATCGTGATTGTCTTGTAGGATGTTTGATATAAAACAGATTGCCCCAGGATCTACTGTTTTAGGATCCTCCCCGTCAGAACCCTCTTCAATGGTTGTTGAATCAAAATTTAACAGATCAGAAGCATCTGAAATCAACCTCGTCCAATCAACTCCAGCTGCTTCTTTCTCACGCTCCATTCCGCGAATTCTGCGCAAATCTGTTTCCCTTTCAAATGAAGAGTGCCTTTCTTCTGAATGATGTACAACGGACTGAACAAGTGATGCCGGTGTGGCAGCTGTCTCCAGCACAGTATCTGTGGCATCACAAGGCACATTTCTATCTGGGCTACCAGAACTATACTTCAAGGTATTTGACAACTCAATTGCTAGTTCCAAATTCTCAGTTGGTATTGCATTGGTAACCTCTGTACCTGAACTTCCAGGTGTAAAGCATTCTGATTGCTTAGAGCCAAAATAAGATTGTTCAACAGCAACTGGGACACTTTCAAGTTTATCACTTGGGTTTGGAGTCTGGAATGATTCCGGATTTGATGCCTCGGAGGAGTGATGCCTGACAACATTAACAGGACATAAAACACTTGTGTAAAACTAGCAACCAAAATGCTTTTTTTTTTCTTTTCAAATTTTAATTCATCAAAGCAGGAAGAGATGATCAATTATACCTTCTGAGTGAGAATCTAGTTTCACCGAGGGAAACATTCTGTGGAGAAGTAAAAATAGATGGAAGAGATGCAAAAGTTAGTGAGTTGAAGGTGTGATCATTTCCTCTGGACTTGACTGGCTCAATTGGAGAAAGATTGCTAATGTAGTTGAAGACGGGGGAATCCTGCATGTTGAGAAGCAGTCATTCTCACTGTATGGCCTTGCAAACGTAACAAATTTTAAATAATTGAACTAAAAATCACAAAGGGAGGTACAAATATCCTCAAAATTGTTGCAGATTAGAACAATCCCATTTATGCACAGTGGCAAATGACAATAAAGCATAGGCACAAACATACTAAAAACACAAATTGAAGCAAACCAAGATTCTCAAATTCAAGCCTCCATTTGTGACCAAAAAACAACCAAATAAACTGAACCTGAAGCTAAAACCAGAACCCATAAAACCCGAAAAATCATAAATCATAAAATAAATAAATAAAAATTTTAAACTCACAACAATTGAAAATGAAACTCGGTTTGCCTTGTGTACAGAAAACAAACCTCATATTTAGAAGGAAGAGGAGTGGTGGGGGTGGTGGTCTGATTCTTCAGAGGAGTGTCCATGCCCACAGCATAAAACTTCAGCAAATCATCACATCTCTCTTTCTCTCTCTACAATTTTGAAAGGAAGGCAGAAAGAAAGAAAGAGAGTGAAAATATTGGAGGGACTTGGGAGGGGGCGCAAGGCGGGAAGAGAGGGATTTCTCTTCTTTTGTTTTTCCCTGTGGGGACCGCCCTTGACCACTGACAACAAATTTAGACGACGTTGTCTTTGAGGGTTCGTTCATCAACACGACATGTCGGTTCTTAATAGGCTCGAAAGTACAAGACGGCCCAATTACGATAGCACCAGAACGAAAAGCCTAATTAGATTTTACCGTGGCCCACAAGTAATTGCCGGATTTTGGGAAATGTTTTCTTTTTTAACTGCGGAAAACTAATCCAAACTAAATTAGGAAACCCAAATTTCTTTTGGATTTCCCAAGTTGGTAAGGAGATTAGTCCGATTTCCATATATGTTGATCGGTGGAAAGCACATTGCATTAAGAACCAAACCCTAGAAGCCAATTACCACTTCCTAGATAGCTCTTCAGTGATTTCCTTGTCCAACACACCTCCGAATTTGATCATCCCATGACGATAAACATCACCATAAACTTGTGTGAGCACCATAGTACTAACCAGGAGCAAGTCACGAAAGTCCTGCGGGTGCCTACAAGACCGAGAAGCAAACGTCGGTATGATTATACGAAGATGAAATCTCTCATCTCCTTCATTGAAAACCTAGGCCTTAGCCCTGAAGAGTTTCAAGAGAAGATTAGGCAGCTGAGGTACTCAAGAGACTACACTTTCCTGTCCTCTGATGAACGCGACAACAATAATGTTCACGCGGTCAAAGATGTTGACTTTGGCCTCTATAGTGCGTTGACAAAAGCTATCAACCGTGACATGCGAAGTCACCAAAAAGAAAATCATAAAAATCTTAATCAGTTGCAGACATCAAAATCTGGCAAAGTTGAATTTGTAGAACGTCAGAAGAAGGAAAACAGTAAATGTCCAAGAGGTTTGCGTACACTTGTTCTTCATGACGACGAAGATGACAACGGAGGAGATGAGGTACCAAGATGAAAAGCCTTGAAGTGCAAAAGGGAAAGTTAAGATTTTGGCGAGAAAGATCTACGTTTAATTAGTCTCAGAATCGATGATATATATAGAATGATGAAAAAAGAGGAAGTATAGACGTATTTGTTGTTAAGCTTAGTGAACAATTTACGAGCTTTGGATTATAATGCGTGTAATGTGTTGCATATGTTTAGTTATTAGTCAAAAACCCCTTTCAATTTTTATTTTATATTTTTATGAGTAAAGTGGGGGCTAAGCCCAAGCACATCTAAACAGAAATAACCATAGGCCTCAACAGACAACCACTTCAAGTTAGATTCCACCTGAGTGATAGCAGAAAGAGCATCTCCCAGTAATAAAAAAAACTTTGACATTTGACAAAATATAATTTAAAACAATCAAAATTAATATCGGCAAAAATGATCAAGACCTGTAGGATCTGTGGTCAGCTTCTTACAAAATTTAAACAGTTGTAAATGTGTACGTATGAATGCGTTATAGAACAAATCTCAAAGAATTTTCTACCCAACTACAACATTTTCCTAGTTTAGCTATCTAATCTAAACCTATCCTCCCCACCACTACATTCAAAGAATTTCCTACTATCTGATACAGCCATATACATGCAAAGCTTTCCAATCCCCTTCTTCTGTTGTGACATTGGCAGCATGCAATACAATGGAATTGTCTTGAAACTTAAGATCCTTACTTACACATATGTCCATCAAATTTTAATAGCTACCCGGGTTTTGATGGGTTTGAGCTTGATTCCTAGACTCTCAGGAGAAAGAAGTTCTGGAGCTATGCATGATTGGTTTGAGGGACTGGTGGGATTGGAGTCATTACTTGATGAGGAAGTAAAATGTGGTTGTCTGTAGTAGCCAAAACCCCTGAGGAAGAACTCAATCGGAGTTATCATGGTGTATGGGTGCTCTTCTGTTACCAGTGAGCCACATGCCTGAACCTGTCAAGGGCAGAAAATATGCCTTGTCAAACAAGCATCTTGATTGTCATTTTCTTAGTAGAATACTGATGTGCCACACATGTTGGGTCCCTTAACAGGAAACGATAAGGTAAGTGGAGGGAAGATTTATTAGTGAAAGTATTAACTGGGGAACCTACCTCAACAAGAGCACAGCTTCTTCTGTTCATTTTGGCATTCATATACACAGATTCAGCATGGAATGGACTACTGTCACCCACAAAAATAAGTGTCTTACACTGCAAATTCTTCAAGCCCTCTGTAAGGTCATGCCTCCTGCAAATAAACTTTCAATTAAGTTCATCGGATGCAGAAAGAAAACTATGAAATTTTATCACATTTGGAAAGGTGCCCACATGCAAGACTTCAAATCATTTCTACTAACTTGCAGCTCTCTCTTTGTTCTAATCCACTCAATTATTGAAGCAGAATTACAGGTAATATTTTCAATATGAATTACTCTAGTACTAGTTAGGTGCAGATCATATAAAGTACGTCAATTTCATGTTGCACTGCAAATGACTTGAGGCAGAACACATTACAGGGAACCAGATACCAAAAAATAAAAATTAGAATGATATGCAACAGAGCACATGCTTATTGCAGTGAAAAGATCTTACTCATTAATTGCTTGAAGGAATCGCATGACATTCAAACTTTGCCTTTCATCCAGTAACTGTATTCACACGTCATGAAAAGAATTAATAGCAGCTCAGTCATGTACATTTTACAATGTTGACATTATAAGAACTCTTTACAGAGTAAGCAACAAATTGTTAAAAGTTCCTTACCCTTCGGCAAGCTTGTATAATATCTGATTCTGCACCATGTCTGCCAGACCTAAGCTCCTACATAGGAAGAATATAAGTATATAACAGATATCAAATCAGAAATGACCTGATAAAAAAAGGTAAACTGCACTACCTCACTGAAGTATCGCTGCAGAAGGCATTCCTTCACTACATCACACATACCATAGAAGTATAGCAAGTTCAACAATACCTGAAAATTTAGAGTACATAAAATCTTAAGCAGGATGGTCAATAAGTCAATCTAATTTTACTGCATGTAGAAAACTTTTACCAGAAACAAGTAGACAAACAATATCAACTTGGTAATGGAAATTATAACCTTGTTGTAAAGCCATTCAGTCCACGAAGGTACTTTGCAGATTGGAGACACGAGTACTAACCCAAGCACTCGTTCTTTATACTTCATCTGCCGATTGGAAATTAAATGAAACAATTACTAAATCAGAATATCACAATTTGCCAAAGGATAAGAGGATATTGGTGACTTACTGCAAAGAGGGTAAGGATATAAGCACCAGCTGTTACACCCAAGCACATGACTTCTTTCAACCTGGATTTTAGTTTAAAAAATGAAAAAGAAAATTGAGAGATAGAGGTAAGCAAAACAGCAAGTAAAATACATATAATCTCCTCTAGATTACATCAGTCAGAACATAAAATTGTATATGCATATTGTTGAAATGAAAAAATTTCACATTTTCCCTCAACACATATTTTGCAGCTTCTAGTGGAAAATCATCACTGAGAACCTATTCTCTGTGGTAGAACATTTTATTAAATTCTCTCATCTCAAAATACAAGATTGTATCTCTCCAATAGTAACTTTTGTCAGCATATGCTAAAGAATCAAAAGTAAAAACACACGTATAAGCAATCATAATCAGTATGTGATAATAAAGCAAAGGAAGTTTGATTGCTGGAATCAATAACTTACCCAAAGAAATCAAGCACTTCGACCACCTGGTCTGCAAGGTCATCCACGCTAAGCAAGCGGACATCTGAAGAAATCACATCAGCTCCCAACTGCAGACACTCTTAAACAAATGGGGTAGAATACTCTATTAAAATCACCAAAATGTTATGAAAAGAACTCTTAACAAACTTTAAATATAAAAAATATATCTAAGGCTGAAGATGTGGGATACATATAATGGACCTCATGGCCGGGTGCATCAATGTGGTAAATGCAAAAGTTGTGAAGCAGCAACGAAGCAGCATCTGAGCAAAAGAGGAGGCCTTGGAAACAGGACATGTCTGTTGAAAGTGTTTTTTGTTTATAAGAACATAAGCAACTAACACCCAAAAGCAAATAACACCCAGACACTGAAAATTCAACCTTTTTCCATACATTGGGGATCAGAATAAAACTAAAATAGCCATTCCAACTACCCCAAGAACATGCATTAAGCTTCAAGTCCAAATAAATCATTGGCAAAAAACAAAAGAACAATAATAGAAGCATACAATTGAGAGCAACGTCAGGGTATGTTATCAAAGCAGGCTTTCCTTGATCCCCACAAACAAGCACAGAGACTGAACCTTTGCTTGTGTTCACCACACATTCCTGCAAAAGATTCATACATGAACCAAAACAGGATGCAAACGAAAACCCATTAAAGAAAATATAAAGACAGAGAAAGAAATGCAAGTTGAGGCTCAGGAAAACACAAGTGCTGCTTTCTTGACGGGCTTGTAAATTGTTTGTTACCTTCCCTCCTAAAGGTATCATATCAATGTCAATGGAGACTGAGTCACTCGAATCCCCCATGACTCAGTTACTAAGTGCGGATTCTTGAACACCAGAACGAAGCTCTTCTTTGCTGCTTCTTCTTCCTCTTCTTCTTGTTTCTTCTTCGGGTCCTCTTTTCTCTCTCTGTTTTTATTTCTGAATTATGAGGCACACCCCCCAAGCAGCAAGTTTTCCTGTTTTGGCGAAATGACAATTGTCGCCTCCGGTCTATGATTTGATTGCTGGTCGTGGACCGGGTGTTGGCTTTGGATTATCCAAGTGACCGTTGCAATGGCAGGGGTTCTTGTGTAATTTCGTTTGAAGCATATTACAGCTATCTGACACCTGGACGCCGCAGAAAATGAATAATCCCAGACCTAGTCTATCATAACACGCCAGCTCAGCACTGACCATGCTTAGCTGCCTCCTTCCCTTTGTTTCTTTTTATTTTTTATTTTCACTTTTAATTCCTATTGTTTTTTTTATATATATATAAATGGAATGGATAAAGCTATGCAACTTTATCACCATGTTTTTATTTTTAGAATCAACTTTGCGGCCATTTTGGCTTGAAATTATAATGACATAACATGTTACATTTGTTTAATATAGTGCCCGTAAGATTTCACTTATTTAATAATTTATAGGGTTTCTTGGTGATTCCATACAAATAATTTGGCCAAAAAGGAAAATTTTGTTTATTTTCTCGAATTAAATAAAGAGCAAGTTGTTACCAAAAATAAGGATTTAAAAGGGTGAGGTATATGAGGAAGCAATTTAGGCATTATGCATCATCATCACTGCATCTGATGATTGATATGTCACTGAGGACCCATTATACGTTAATCACGGCCAACCTTTTTAGATTACTAACAATCAACCTGAAAAGATGTTCTGCAAAGTTTATAGCTCACATAAATGACATTCATCATCTACAAAATTGAGATTTTATTTTAACTTCCAATTTTTTGAAATTTTTTTAACACATCTATTTTTGCCGTAATCCAGAGGAGAAAGTTATAGTTTATAAAATAAAAAATGCTGGTCATACCACATTGTGTACTATTTCTTTAATAGAAGTAGGGCCTATTGTATTTGTGGGCTCCACCTCTAAAAGAGGTGATACACAATGTGGTATGCCTAACATTGCTTTTATGAAATAGTAGGTCTTGTTTAGCGGTCAATATGAAAACATTGAATTAGACTTTGAGTATTGAATTAGACTCGTTCGGCGAAAACTAATCTCTTGCGATCCATATCCAAACTTGGAGTCCCTTGTATTTTGAGGGAGTATGTTCAGTTGTGAGCCGTATCCAAACTTGATCGATTCGTGAAACTCGTATGCATCAATTGGGGGAGTAGTTAGTTTAGCATCCCTTAGAAAACTTGGCGTCTCTTGTTCTTACAAGTTGAGCTTTCTTAAGCAAACCTAATAAGAGGGAGGGGAGTGATTAGCGGAACACATACACACACGCGTATTTGCAGAGATGGGGAAATCACACTCACGCGAATTTGTCGGTCACGTAGGCGACGCACCCGTGGACTATGAATGCACATGCGGCTTTCGCATTTCTATTTTTCAATTTAGTTTTGGATCCAGAAGCTGTAGCTTTCAGATCCTACAAGGGGAAGGAATGCTCTGGCAGTTTGGCAGATATATGAAAGGCAATCCTTTCTTTCTCTCTTTGGGTCCATGACTTCACACTACGTTTTCAGGGCTGTGGCTGGCAAGAAGCCCAAGTTGAACCAACCACTTGTTTTTTAACACATGCCTATAAGCAGCTACATGGACCCAACTGATCTTACATTACATGTTTTAAACCTCAAAATCATGGCTGCAAAACATTCAATCCTGCCAATGAGGTTGGTTCAATTCTGCAAAACCTCAAAATCATGGCTCCCTCTAAACTTTTTTTACAAATTTAGTTATATACTCAATGTTATTAGACATAGTCTTATAAATAAATACAATACCATTTAAAAATTATAAACACACAAAAAAAAAAACTCAAAACTCACGAACTATGCATTTTTTAAATTTAATTAATAAGATGAAATACCTTTATTACCATTTTAAGATAAAATTGGAATTCTAATCCCTTTATCTGGCGTTGAAGCCATATCATAACTCATTTCTCGAGCTCCATTCTCTCATCTTCATCTTCAACCCCAATTTTCAATTTTTGTTCTTCCATTTCTTGTTTTGAAATCATCTTTTTCTTTGGACTTTTTGGATTGTGCGGATGTCTATGTCTCCTCTCCATTGCTGGCTCTGACACTTTTTCAAGGGACCAAGCCTCAGCTCCCCAAATTAGATAATCTCGATCTCTCCAAGTTTGTTCTCCTATACTTTCTTCTTCATCCTTTTGTTTTTGCTTGTAGATTTGTGGACGAAGGTATAAGATTGAGAATATGGTGGAATTTTACACTGATATCAAAGGAACCTTGATCTCAACAAGTCGTCACGGCGGAAACGACAGCCAATGACCTTGTTGGTTGTTCCAGAGTATTGCACAACGACAACAACTCATCATCTTCAGTTGTGGAGGAAGACAGGGATTTCGCCGCGTCGTCGTCGTCATCGTCATTGATTGGTTTGGACTTGGGATTTTTAATCTTTTACTTCAATTATGTGTTTCTCTTCGGATTTAAGTTGATTTGAGGAATGTATTTTAAGCTTTGATGATCGATTTATCTTTGTTACTATTTAGGTTATGTATCTCGTTATTTTTTAACACTGTACTTTTATGACAGAGTATTAACAATGTACTTCTATAATAGTGTATTAACAATGTTCTTCTATGACATAATATTAAAAATGTACTTCTATGAAGAGCCCCTGCTTGTTTTCGTGATTTTTTTTCTTAATAAATTGTTTGGGTTTTTTTTTTAAAAGTCTGGGTTGGACTTGTTTTGGGTTTTTTTTTATTATAGTTTTTTCGTGTTGGGCTTTTTTAAAGTTAATCAGTGGCAATTATGTAAATTATAGGAACTTTAACACCCATTTCTTATGTAGTAAATGAGTTTTGGGTGTGTTTCTAAAATGCGTTCCATATGGGTTATTTTTTTTCATTTCAGCCCCTATTTTGGGTATAATAGTGAAGCTCCCAACTTAAAAATAAAATAAAAAATCAATTCTATGAACAAAAAAAAAAACACATTCAATTCAACTAATGAAATGAATCCATAAATGAACAAAGAAAATACTAGGAATTACAAGGTTCAAATAAGTTTCAGTTGTATTTCCATTAGTCCTTTGCAGCAATATCTTAAGTACTAAGACCCTACACAGTCTTCAACATGAAGAAATCACACTTTAAAAACGCTATGTAAATCTCAACCAACCATTTTTTACAGTTCCATGCAACAACAAACCAGACATGAATTGACCATTAGAAACACCACGACATATCACTTTCAAAGATTCTTCCAAATCCAGACATGAATGGACCCCATTATATTCTCTTGACGTATGCTCTCTCATTTACTCTCTTGAGAAGCAAAGGGGAAACAAGGGGCAATTTCATACACCAGAAACAAACAATGAGAGAAAACAGATATCAGAAACTCACAGTAGAAAGTATACACTTGATATCCTTGAGATCCGATGCATTGAAGCACCGTGTGCTGCTAGACAATTAGGCTCCACAACTGTAGAAGATTCCTTCCAAGGCTTGAAGAGAAAGATCAGTCGTGACTTGTCCCCTTCTATCCTTAAACTGATGCCTAGCACATACTTTTGCTTCAAACTTTCACCCCAAACATAAGGCAGGACGAAGTTGTGCAGGATGCTTCTATCACAATTATATACATCTCTTCATATTCCTTCAACTACTTACAACTTTTACTTTCTACAACCCTTCTTTCCACCTATTGACTAGAAACCGTAGTCTTTATGAACATATCAACATCAATAAAGTATATTTTTCAAGACCAAAGATTCTTTTTACTTCTCTGTTTTCTATAATGTAAGGTTTCAATCTTGAGCTCAACAAGGAAAAGCAGTAGAGACCTCCATGAATTGCTTAATATCACGCGAAAGCTTCAATAGCATTAGGTTGCGGAGTTACGAAAACATTATTCAAGTATCATAGTAGAACATGTTTCATCATATCTTATTCTAGCTTATATTTCCAGATCTATGGCTATTTAACAAGAAAAAAAGGATGTCTTTCCTGGTCCTTTAACATTCATTCCAACTTACTTAAGGACATAATCACAGCTAAGCTGACATGCTCAATAAGAAACTTGGGGAAAAAAAATTGCCAGGACAAGCACATGAATTTCGATCAAATAAGAAATTTGCACATCAATGATTATGACATAGAATTCTCAGAAGGACAAAAATAAGAATGAAATTAACACGGTATGAAGGATATACAACCAGTAAAAACAAAACTGTCTCTGATCTATTTGGATTGCTCAAGCTCCTCATAAGGAGAAACAAAAGAAAAAGGTTAAGAAAAAACAAATGATTATATAACAAATGATCATATATAATCATTTTTTTTGTGGTAATTCAATCACATAGCTGATAAAATCATCACTCACTAGAGGTTTTCTGTTAGCAATCAATGAAGAACTTCCGACTTCCTCTATTCATTCTTCCAAGCGTACAGAATCAGTGAGAATCCTAGACCCTGCGACTTACTATCTGAAAATCTCTGTGAAAATGACCACTGCAATGCACTTGGATCAGAGAGCGGTTGGCTAGCCCACAACTTCTCAGCTGAGAGGCATGTCTTGAACATAAAAACAGCATTTCCGGGTGATGTACCAAAGAGCCAGTTGTGAACATCCCAGAAAACTTCAACTGCAAGCCCATCAACCAAGATGGTATGATTCCCCCGGAACTTCCACCGAAGTCTCTTCACCTGCATCACAGGCTTGCTGTCTACGCGGACCAGGAGGCACGGGTCATTGACCCCAAGAGTATCACATTCAATGACAAGATCATGCACTTGACCATTATTGGAAAATTGAGCCTTTGTGGTGAAGCCCCTTTTACCAAAAACGTGCTCTCTCTTGGCAACACAAACAGCATTAGAAGGCACAGGGCTGGCACTAGTCTTTTTGAAAGCTTCTTTTCTCATATCTCCAAGAAGGAGAAGCATTTGCCGGTCCACCACAACTCCCACATAATATCCCCCTAAAGGTTCAGGCCCGGATCCGAATTTCGCCGAAGAAAGGTCCCAATATATGTCAATTTTACTAGAATAAGCTTCCAAACTCTTGAACCCTCTTCTCTTCGAGAACAACCAGGGCTTAATATCAACCTTGCAAAGAGACTGATTTGACGAATCATCTATCCCAACACTAAGCCCTTGACCCATCAAATTCTTACTCCAAGTTACAGTAATCAAGCAAGACCTGCCTCGTAACCGGCATTGATAGACACAAGTAACCAAATTCTGGGCAGTCCTACTAGTATTTGATGAAGAAGAATCAGCAACTTGAACCCCATTTTCACCAAAACAAGATGGGAAATCTCTCATTTTCAACCCAAGAACCTCAATTAACTTTTCCAAACTTTCTCTCGGGATTTTTAACAAACAAATGGTGGCCTTATGCAAACAAAACAAAGACAAAACAAGCACTCAGAAGTGAAAAAAAAGAGAGAAAGAAAGATAAGAAAAACAAAAAGAAGCAGAGAAGGCGAGCCAAGTAACTCTTACCTCAACTGATCAGGGACAAAGGCGAAGAATCTATCTCAAAAATGCTTCAAAATCTGATTACCCAGCCTTGATTTGATCTGGTATGCTGGGTCTTGATGCATTACTGCAGAAAACCCATTAATCCAGGTTGAGGCAGAGCATGAGAGAGCACATCTAAAACAAAACGGACGAGCTTGAAAATGTAGGTTGCAAAATAAATCACACAGAGAAGCAGACAAAAAGTAGACTTGTTTCACTATCAACAGGCCCTCGCCAAAACAAAATCGTAACAAACAACAATAGTAACAATAAAAATTGAATCTTTTTCTCAAATAAATAAAATAAAATAATAGCCACTGAAGAGAATATGAAGAAAAAACAGTAAAGCTTATGCAGAAAGAGATAAATGTTAAAAAATATATATATACCTCAAGATGGCGACAGCTGGTGTAATCTATTGAAGTTGAAGCAAAAAGAGGGCTAAATAGCAACTGGGTATTGCTGGAAAGGCTGGTTTTTGAAAGATTACTCTACACTGAGAAAGGAAAAAAGCATCTCTTTCTCTCTCTCTCTCCCTCTCCTTCTCTTTCTCTCTCTAGACCTTGCTTTAGCTGACATGCCCACATGAGATACAGAAGCCCAAACACAACCCAATTGATAAATTTTTTTCTCACAGTTTAATTGGAAGAGACAAACTGTTTAGTGCTATATGTTACAAGAGCTTTCAGAGCTCGGATTGAAACCTCCACTTTCATGGAAATTAAGGCATATAAACGGCAAATAAAGAAGAATGAAAAACGAAAAAAGCTTTCTTTTTTTCCCTTCCTCTATTGGTGGTTCAATTTTTTCTTTTTGCATGTATTTAAAGGGGGGAGAAGAGAAACAGAGTAAAATAACAGTTTTGGGTAAGAGGGTCCCCACCGGCCTTTGTAAGTGCAAGCACGATGTGTCTCATATTAATTGGTTTTTAAGAATCAATAATTGCATGCATTACACCACTTAATTTTCTTTAATTTTTTTTTCCTTGACATAATTAACCTCAACAGGTCGACATATTTGTTGTACACTTTGACAGTGCACTGTGCAGTCGCAGTACAAGAAAGACCTTTGACCAAACCCAGGACGAGTGTACCCAATCCCTGTCCTTTTCACTGGTTCACTGCCGACTCCATTTTACACCCACCCACTCTCTCTCTCTCTCTCTCTCTCTCTCTCTCTCTCTCTCTCTGTGTTTCCTCTGTTTTTAGAATCTGTATGAGTTGTTATTGTAATAAGAAGTGGATTTGATTCTAAAGAGTGGTTGGACAAGTGTTTTAGGCAAAGGAGTTTGCTTTATCTAAATCTTTGCTTTAAATTATTATTATTATTATTTAAGTTCCAAGAGAAGAGACTGGTTTTCATTTTACAGAGCAAAAGCTCAGAGCCTGAGATACACGCACTGCACTAGTTGAGAATTGAGTGGCCCCAAAATATATGGAATTTTGTTTTCTTTTTGGGTAATTTTATCTAAACATGGTGCATGGTGGTCTTTATTTTCACCTTTTGTTTGTTTCCTGTTTGAGAGCATATTCTTGCAATGCAATGTATATATTGTACTGTCTTTTTTTGTGTATGGTTGTACAGTCTTTGTCATATCATTTTATAAAAACTGTCCATGTAATTAGTTAAGTCAATCAATAAGAGATTAAGGTTATTGCCAAAAAAAATAAAAGAGTTACGAGTTTATTAATCAAGATAATCTAACAATAACATCAAATATTTTTTAATACAAGCGATAGTCTAAATTATAAGAAAAAAAAGGGGGGGTTCACACACACTACACTACCAAGGTATCATGAATTCAAACATGAGACGACTAACTGATATGCAAATCAATGTCATTTCCACTGAGAATAAAATAACAATAACATCAAATTTTAAAGTAATTATTAGAAGAAGAAAAAAAGTTAGTAGTTTTCAAAACATGTTATAAATCCCTGAGAATCCTGACACATTTTGACTGAAATACGACAAGAAAAACGTTATAAAAAAAAAAAACCCAAGGGAACGTAAAAACATGCTAGAACAATTTGATAAATTTAAAGTTTCAAGCTTTGAGTGGTTTTTTCTTAATACGAAAAAGCTTATGAGATAAGTTGTGAAGGTGTATCGGACGTGCTTGGTGGTGTGTGGGGGAATACAAGTGTGAAAAACTAGAAGGGCTCGGGCGCTGGCCTGGCTGGTATAATAAGGACAGCTAAAATTATGAGTGAGATTTGTAATTGCCTTACTTTATGGGATATATAACACGTGGTCTTCACGTGTGCTTTGTCCATGGACCATGCCTCCCTAGGTTACTTTGTTGTCCAGCCCAAAATTTGATCCTCTATTGGAATGTGGACTTGTTGGGCCTTAAATACCCATTTTTACTTTATTTTTAAAAAAAAAAATTTGGATTTTTATTCCCAACTATTTGTTTTTAATATAGAGAAGTTGTCACTTTATGAAGGGTGGTAGTTGTTACGAAAAAATGGTAAAGAGGGGTCGGGACTAGGAATTGAGTGAGGAGGTTGGATATGTGGGTTTTACTTCAAAAAAGAAAGATAATAGGAGGCAAGCAAGCCATAAAAAATTTTGAGAAATTAAAAAAACATATAAAACAGAAGATTACTCTAATTTTTCTTTTAAACCAATTTATTACATCAAATTTTCGTTATTAACTGGCGTGACAATTTTTATTTGTTGTGAATAAATAAAGTTTAAAATAGACTCGTACATGAAAAAAATAATAATAACACACACACACAACACCACCACGTATTAGTTGGAATTTCAAAATTAACGACTCTCGTACTACTCGACTTTAGGTCACTAGATCGGCTAGTGTAGATAAATATTCAAGAATCCTTTTACGATGGAGATCACAAAACTTAAATGATTGACACAAAGCAAAGAACACCTATTTACTTTTGGTTAGGCTTAAGAGATTTAACTTAGACCGGACACCTCAAGTTTATAGAGGACTTACTTTAAGTCCTTACCTCAACCTAGTCATATAATTATTGACTGATTCTGACTGGCCACCACCACCTAGCTTCTCCCATACTTTTTTACTTTCATCTTTTTCAAACCTAGCTTATACAACGGGCAATGAACTATAATTGGACCGACATGGACGACTATTTGGACAAAAAAGTAAAAAAAAATTAAAAGGTAAGTAAGTAAATTGAAATTATTCATGGTCTTAACATTATTAAATTGATATTGCATCCAAAATGGGACGTGTAAGCTGCTCTTTGGCACTATTTTTTATTATTATTATTAGTGTGGCACCTTATCTATCTGTCCCATGGTAGGGACCACTGAAACAATCATATCATATATAAACAAATACCTAAATGGGGATCCACAAGTCTTTATATTTTACATCATGTTATATTGAGGAGGCAAAGGGAAATTTATAAAAATAAAAATAAAACTTTGATATAGCGAGCGATTATTTGGTGTCATTAATACGATAGCCCAAAAAACCATGATGAAGTGACATGAGATTTTTCACATGCAAAGAAAGAAAAAAGAAGGGCACAACACAATGAGTATAACTAGTGGAGAGAGAGAGAGAGAGAGAGAGATTCATGCGAAATGGAAAAAGGAAAAAGCTCAAAGCTGTGAAAATGTAATGAAGGTACTTTGCCTGTCTGTCTCTCTATCAACTTTGTAGAAATATTGCTTGTATCTATCATTTCGTTGTTCTTTTCTACACATTCCTTCTGAACTTTCAATCAAGTGTGGGCTATGTTTAGATTTTGATGGTGTTTGTAGCAGAGAAAGGAAAAAAAAAAGGAACCAAGTGGAGGGAAAAACAAAGTCAAAAGGGTTAAATTCCAAGATAAGATTGTTGGTTTTTTTTTAAATTAAAAAAATTAAAAAAACAAAGATATAAATCATCCTGCAAGAAAAGAATCCACTTGCATCGAGTTGGGCTTTACTAAAAGTTTAAAACTGTTCATTCTAAGCCATATGGCCAGTTAAAACCGAAAGCCCACTATTTTGTCCAAAACAAAAAACCAAAAGCCCATCCATGCCATTTTCATTAATAATAATATTTTTTTTTATACAAACAATATTAAGGGAGGTGGATTTCAATACAGTAACTCGGGTGCATGAATAATTACTATTAATTAATTGAGTTACAAGCGCTCACATGTTATTTTCATTTTAGTTAAATATGGATATAATTAGTGGCACTAGCTACCTTATTTTTGTTATTTGAGTGTGATATCGCCACATGCACATTTTAAAATCAGACAAAAACAATCGTTTCAAAAGTGGAGATAGATAGATAGATGCCCTGAAAGAAAATATAAACTAAGCTGGATTAAGAAAGGTTTAGTTGTTAAGTCGCGTGGTTTGGTTGTTAGTTGTCTCATCTTATATTTCCTTAAACTATCAATGTTTGTTTGAGACCGCTTTTTGTGGTTGTTATTTCTCTCTCAGTTTCTTGTTTTCTTTAGGATAATAAGTTGCAGAGAGTAACAGAGAGAGAGAGATGATATGTCTCGGCAGAGTCTTGTAAAAGATGCATGGATTAGAGAAGCTGAAGAGGCTTCAAGTTTGGTGGAAGATTTGGAGGCCAAGACCAAGAACAAGTACCCTGACCAATTGACCCTCAGAGAAATTGCTCGATCCAAGCTTCTGGAGCTTGGAGTGAAACTTGATCGCCTCGAATCACTCCTCCACAACCCGCCCTCAAAACCCATCTTGTAAATTATGCTCTTGCTTTTAGCTGTTTTATTGCACTTGATTATGATTGATTTCATACTTAGCTTGGTTTGTGGTGCATGCTTGTATTTTCATATATTTCTCTCATAATTGGAGTGCATTTGCTGGCATAAGTAAACAGAACTAAAGAAGATGTGGATTTTCGTTGGAAAATGCTCTCAGATATCCAGCTAAGGACAAGAACGTTGGCTCTCAGTTTCTTTGTGCTAGGAAGGCAGGCTTCTTCTTTCCTAACAATCTGATATGTCTGTCTGTTTGACTAAAATTTGATATATCATAATGATTTTATTCCAAAATTGAAGAGATAAGGATGATGTTTAATTACTTTCTCCAGTTCTTATGAACTTGGCATTTGCATTTTGACTTCTGCTCAGATCAGAAAGACTTCCTGAAGATACCAAAGAACACAACAAAAATGCAAACAGATGTGACCAAGGTACAGCTTTATATGTCACTGTCAGTACGGTTGGTTTAAGTCTATTTGGTCAAAGCTATTTATCATTCAAGAAGCATTCAAGCATGGTTAGATTCTGTGAAGAAGCAATCTGAAGAAAAATCCTCTAATGTATCAGAATTTGTGTTAATTTTATGTGTCAGCAGTCTCCTTTTGTTATATCAATAATTATTTGGTTCGTCTTTCGTATACTATTTTTGTTATTTAAATCCATGCTGTGGTGCAGATGAAGTGAAGCTTTCGTTCTCTAAAGATGACCAAGAGCTGCTGAAACCTCTTCTTGTAAGTTCTTTCATAATAAACCACCCATAATCTTCAAATTCCACCTATAATTTATATTAGTATCTTTTTTTGTCTTTGGACAGACAGACAATATTGTAACAAGAAGTCAAGTGCAGGTACATAATTTCAAAAAACAAAAACAACTTCTGACTTTAGTGTGATTTGAGCTGCAGATTAAACCGTCCAATTCTTATACTCCGATGAGCTTGCATTGGAAGACTTGCCGGGGCATTTCTGTGGTCTTAGGGGTGACTGCATGTCTGTTCATCTTAGTTTTCCTATTTGTACACACATAATCATCATAACTTGATCTAAGTATTTGATGTTGTGATGGTTTATCCATGCAATTTGGAGCAGTATTTTCTCTGCCTTTTTCTTTTTTTAAGTGAAGATTGTACAAATCTATTAATTTCAGAACAAGGATACATCTTCTGCAATGTAAAATTAAGTACAGTTACATTACAAATAAGGATTCTTACTCAAACCCATCATCATGTGACAGAGTTGGGAAAAGAGTTGCATTGTACAAAACCAGAAAATTCTGGTTCATTTGTGGTTGATTTGTTAGCATTGAGAAAAACCACCTCATTAGAATGGGAGGTATTGGAAAGAAATTAAATTCCCATTCTCTAATATCGCTTAGATTAAAAAAAAAAATTTCGAAGAAATAACTCTAACCCATGGGCTAAAGTAGTATTTTATCGGTAAACCAAAAAATACTGTTTAATATTTTCCCAAAACAATAACATAAATAGATTATTATAAATAAACCCAATCCTAGACATGTATTTATAAAAAAACCTAAACACTATTTAAACATAGAAACACACCCAAAATCAACCCCAAAATCAACAATTGTATATTTTTTGGGTGTGTTTATAAAGTGTTTTGGGTGTTGGGTTTTTTTATAATTTCAGCCCCCATTTTGGGTGTTTTAGTGAAACCCCCATAAATAAAATAAAATATTGAATATTTAAGGGTATCGCCGTGCGGCTATACTCTTTAAATGTATACGAATGTTTAAACCGTATAGCCGGGCGGCTATACTCTTTTAATATATTTGAATAGTTTAATAGTATAGCCGGGCGGCTATACCGTTAAATATATTCGAATATTTAATAGTACCGCCGCGCGGCTATTCCCTTGTAATGTATCTGACTATTTAAACGTATAGCCGGTCGGCTATACTCTTTTAATATATTCGAATAGTTTAATAGTATAGCGTGCGGCTATACACGTTAAATATATTCGAATATTTAATAGTACGGCCGCGCGGCTATACGCTTTGATTATGTTTTAATAGTATAGCCGCGCGGCGATACTATTTAAATATATTGGAATATTTTAATCGTATCGCCAAGCTCCTATACTTTTAAAATATATTCGAATATTTAAGCGTATAGCCGCCCGGCTATACTATTTGAATACAGTCGAATATTTTAATTGTATAGCTAAACATATTCGAATATTTAACAGTACAGCCGCGCGGCTATACGCTTTCATTATATGTATTTTAATAGTATAGCCGCTCGGCTATACCCTTTAAATATATTGGAATATTTTAATAGTATAGCCGCCCGGCTATACGTTTGAAATATATTCGAATATTTAATAGAATAGCCGCGCGGCTATACGATTTGAATACAGTCAAATATTTTAATTTTATAGCCGATCGGCTATACCCTTTAATATATACGAATTCTTTAAATATATACGAATTCTTAGAGAGAGGGAGAGAGAGCTCAGAGCTCAATTTAAGTTGTTGATTCTTAGAAGCTTCAATCTATGGCTTCAGTGTGTTTGATTTGGTGGGATTTTTGTTTTGTTCGTAAGAGTAAAAGAAAAAGAAACAAATCCAACCATCGGGAGTTTGAAACAAAGGTTTCTTCCCTGCTACATCTATATAAAGTACACCATTGTTCTTCAATCCTACCATGCATCCAATATTCTTTCTCAAGGAAGAGAGAATCTGAAAAAGAAATCCCAGAAGTTTCTTTTGGTTCTCGTTGCTGCCATGGCTGTATATGCCCTTTTAGTAACCTCAAGTACTCTTCCTATCTCTCTCACTACTAGTTTTTCCAAATGAAGCTATGTCACCTAACGTTTTGCCTTTTTTTCGACTTGGTCGCATGCAATTGATCTTGTTTTTGCAAAAGATCATGTGACTGACAGAGTTGGGAAAAAAGAGTTGCATTGTACAAAACCAGAAACTACAATGCTGTTGCAGCCGCTAAAGAAGACAGACAGAGAGATCAACCTTATCATCTTCCTTGTACTTTTTAAATATATAATCAAATCTTCATATTTCAAAATGAGCATTTCTGTGATTTTAGGGTGTTATCTAAGGAAACATCATTTTCTTCTTAGCTAATGGTAAATCAAAGAAAATTTATCAAAAACAAGACTGCTGTGCTCAAAGTTTTCAGAAAATTGTGCCGTTTAGCAATTAAGTTTGTTGCATGTTTTGGAAAATTGAAAACATTGCAATCTGCTATATATCTTGATATAATACATGATCTTAAATAGAAATTAAGTATGCAACTATACGCAGGACCACAATCATCTCCAGTGTACATGTATCTGCTTTGGTGGGAAATTTTTTTCTTTGTAAGAATAAAAGAAAACGGAGACAAATCCAATCATCGAAACACTAGATTTATTAGTACAATTTATAGGAAAATTTTCTTGACGCCTGAAAGATATAGTTGGTATAAGTTTAAAAGTTGGACCTCATTCATGCATTAGATACAAAAGGTTTCTTCTTGGTTACGTATATATAAACCGTTGTTCTTCAATCCTTCCATGCATCCAATCCAATACGCTTTCTCAAGGACAACAAGAGAATCATAACATGAAATCCCAAAAGTTTCTTTTGGTTCTCCTTGCTGCCATGGCTGTGTCTGCCCTTTTAGCAACCTCACGTACTCTTCCTATCTCTCTCATTACTAGTTTTTCCAAATGATTCTAACACCTAACTTTTGTTTTTTCCAACTTGGTTGCATGAAATTCATCTTGTTTTTGCAAAACTTCATGTGAAGTTGGGAAAAGAGTTGCACTGCATTGCATTGCAGATCTATTTTATTTTATTTTCCTTAATTACATCAAAATGAACAACAACTAGTTGCTAACAGATGAAATTGGTTTTATTTATGTTTGAAAATTGCAGGTGTTGTGGGTGAAGAGAATGTGGAGCCACAAGGTCACTCGCAATCGATTGACCCTTTTTGCTATGGACTCTGCTCAAACACATTTGGAGATGCAGATTGTTTTGCATTATGCAAAGCCAAACAATTCAAAGACGGAATTGCATTGTACAAACCCAGCAACTACAATGTTGTTGCAGCCGCTAGAAAAAGACAGACACAGAGACAAGATTAAAATGATTATTCGAGAGCCACACAAGATCATGATCTTCCTTGTACTTTTTAAATGAGGTTTTATTAATTCTTCAAATAAGTAATGAAATCTCCATTTCTTTGCAATGAAATTACCATTTGGGCGTATTGGTTGTTTTAGAAATTTGTTATTTTGGGTTTTGTGATTTTGGCTTTGTATCATGCTGTTTTTATTATTTTATTTTATAGAACTTTTCCTATTGAGATGCGTGATAACATACTAAATTCACACATTACACACGGATGCTAGAACTCGAACCCATAATCTTTACTGAAGGGATCATTTGCTCCAAACTACTACATTAGAAGATCCTTTGTTGGATCATGCTTTTAGTGATGTTGTCTGTAAGGCTTTTATTTATTTATGTCAGTTTTGGGTTTGATGGTTTTGTAGTCTTTTTGAGTTTGGTATTTTTGTTGTCTTGTAGGGTTTTGGTGGCTTTTTTTGTCAATTATTTATACTATTGAAATATATCTAATTAATTTTTTTATTTGACATAATAGTTTTAAAAAATAATAATAAATGGATGGAGCACAACTTTTCTGTTAAATCATTAAAATTATTTTTTTTTTTGTCAAATCATTAAAATGATTATGATGATTAGAATAGAATAGAATAATTAAAGGGACAAAATCAGACTATTGTAGACTATTTCATATTATTATGATGACTCCCGAGCATTGTAGACAATTTCATATTACGTTCGAACAAGTTCAGTTCAGAATCAGATTATACTCGTTCAAGTTGCAGCGCCCAACTTTCCATCTCGCTGCTGCTTCTGCTCCAACTCGAATGCCTCGGTGAAGCAGAGCCAGAAGAACTCATTTTCCACAATTTTCTTCATCCTCTGCCTCCATCAAGGTTAGTGGGTCTTCATGCCCCTTTCTCCACTCCACTTCCATGTTCTTTGTTCCAATGATTTCATCAAAGACCCAGCTCCACTCCATTTCAGTTTTCTGAATCAGTAGGTCAAAACCTGTTATCAACCCTTGAATTGATCCAAGAAGTTCAATTTCTGAAAATCCAGCTCTGTATATGGTACAGTAGGAAAAGTATGAATAAGTTCCCATTTCGTCAGTTTTCTAGTTTGCCCAATTCAATTGCAAAAGAACCCACCTTTATAAACCTCACAATTTGTGGGAAGTTGGGAAAAAGGAATTGGAATCCGCTTCCTATACCCCACAGAACAATTCCTGAACCCAAAGGGCAGGACCTTGATTTTGTTAATGTTGCAAACAGCCATCTAATTCACTCTGACTGGGCTAAGCTTAATTCCTTGTCCAGTGGTCTAACTGCTTTCAGAGTGAAACATATACTGCTAAAGATTAAGCAGGACTATGTTCTTTCCCTTGAGTTTTTCAATTGGGTTGCAGCTCAAAACCCCACTTCACTTACCCTTGAAACACACTCCATGATTCTCCACATTCTCACCAAATATCAGAAATTCAAATCTGCAGAGTCTATTTTGAAAAAGATTCTTGTCTCAGGTTCGATAGACTTGCCTTCCAAGTTGTTTGAAGCAATACTGTATTCGTACCGCTTATGTGATTCTTCTCCTCGTGTTTTTGATTCTCTTTTCAAGACTTTTGCTCATATGAAGAAATTTAGGAATGCCACAAACACCTTTTGTCAGATGAAGGATTATGGATTCTTCCCAACAGTAGAGTCTTGCAATACATATCTGAGCTCATTGCTTCAATTACATAGAGCTGATATTGCTTTGGTATTCTATAGAGAAATGCAGCGTTGTAGGATTTCACCGAATGTTTATACTCTTAATATGGTTATATCTGCTTATTGTAAGTTGGGAAAGTTAGAGAACGCTGTTGAGGTCCTTGAGAAGATGGAGAGCATGGGTTTTAGTCCTGTAATTGTATCATATAATACACTGATTGCAGGACACTGTGATAAGGGTCTTCTGAGTTCGGCTTTGAAGTTCAAAAACTTGATGGCGAAGAATGGATTCTACCCGAATGTGGTTACTTTTAACTCACTTATTGGTGGGTTTTGCAAGAAAGGAAAACTTCTGGAAGCAAACAGAATTTTTAGTGAGATGAAAGACGTGAATGTTGCTCCTGATACAGTAACTTACAATACTTTGATAAAAGGGTACAGCCAAGCAGGTAATAGCGAGATGGGCAATAGGATTTTTGAGGAGATGTCAAGGAATCAAGTAAATGCTGATGTCCTGACTTATAATGCATTGATTTTGGGACTCTGCAAGGAGGGTAAGACAAAGAAAGCTGCATATCTGGTTAAAGAACTTGATAGAAAGCGCTTTGTCCCAAATGCCGCAACCTTTTCTGCCCTTATTGAGGGGCAGTGTGTGAGAAAGAACTCGGACCGTGCCTTCAAGTTATGTAAAAGCATGATAAGGAGCGGTTATCATCCTGATGAGCATACTTTTAAAATGCTGATATCTAGCTTCTGCAATAACAGGGATTTTGATGGAGCAGTCGAAGTCTTGAAAGAAATGTTTCAGAGATCTATTGCTCTTGATTCAAGCATCTTATCTGATTTATGTCTAGGACTATACAGATGCGGGAACGAGAAAATGTTAAACTCGTTATGCGGTGAGATGGAAGCTAGACGACTCATCCCTCGAGGTTTTGACATGGCAAAGATTATATCCTCTGGAGTAGTGGAAGAGAACTGAACATTCGGAAATAACATGTAAAGGTGTACATTGTTTTCCTTGTACCTTTCAAAGAAAAGGTTCTACATTGTTTTGGATAGGGATTATTGCTCAAGTTGTAAGAGGCCTTTGTTAATTGGTTTACTTAATTTAACTCCCTTTCACTTGAGTTATGCATTTGAGCTTGTTCCAGATAAATTCACGTAAACAATCCTCTCTTTGTTTTAAACAAGCCCTTAAACATGGTTCCATACGACATAACTGTGGTAGATTGTAAGTCTAATTAACGAATTAATTAGTGCATCAATGCAAAATAATATCTGCAAAGCAATAGACCCATACTAATTTTGGTTAAAAGGTGCCAAATACGCATACAACAAATCAAACGTTCTCATCAGCTTTAAATAAAATTATCAGCATTACAATTTTCATATACCTAGGACCCACACTCGAACCCACCTACTTAAATGTATCAGAGGTTCTAATTATGTCACGACTCCTCTTCGCCAGCTTCAGCCGCTGCTATATGAGAATCCAATGTGTTTATCAGCTGCTCACTTACTGTTTTTGCCACAGATATCATGTCAAGAATGATGCTTGGATCTAGGCCGGCACCTCCCCGTTTTGTCAACCCACAAATGTGGCCTTGCCTATCGATGGAAATAGAAACAGCCAAGCACATTTGTGATTCCTCTTCTGAAGTGGCATCTACAATATAGTGCCTGCCTACCTGAGAAACAGATGGGAAGGAATAAATACAAGGCAATAAACATTTGCAGTTTGCAGAAGGACAGAAGAGATGGTTAAATCATGTCACCTTTGTTAATGTAACTATGACAGGGACCCTAGATGTGTCAAATTGCAGAAATTCCTCATCGCTTACGTCAACCTCTGGTTGCTCATCGCCGGACGCACCAGCTGCAACATTTACTTTTGGGATGCCTGTATTGCTCAAAGCAGCCTTTGGGAACATCAGTTTCTTTAAAAGATAAGCCATGCCACTGGACTTTTCTTTGAACACATAATACTAAACTTTACCAACAGCCAGAAAACTCTTCAGTTGTCCTTATTTGCAGAACAGAAATTAATTAAGCATGTCAAAACAAATAAGAATTATCAAGTACCTTAATAGCAGCACCTAGGGCATCTAGCAGATTCCCATCTGAACTAACAACAAGGCCGTCGATGTAAAGATCCCAACAGATCTTTCCTTCCACAACTACCAGAGAGGAGAGATCAATTCCAGCACCTGGAACAAACAAAGACATCTATATATATTATCGACTTTGCAGTTATATGAAAATGCATGTACAACTGAGAAATATGTATTGCCAAAAGAGATAATACATAAATGTTACAACAAATTTATTATGCTTAGCTCTTCAATAAGAATACAGACCAGATCCACTTTTACCACCCAAGAGACAACGTTGAAGAGCAACTGAGAGTTCTGCTGACAGCTCCTCACCCCCTCTACCCTGTAGAAATGTAGCAAAACAACAGCATTACAAAAAGAATAAACACATAGGTCCTACAAAAGAAAAATAGACATTCAATCTTTGCAATGTACACCAACAAGAAAAGTTCAGATTGCCTAATAGGATTAGAAGAATAGACAAAAAATGAGCAGAATATGATATTTAGTTCCCTCATATTTTATCAGAGCATTAATTCCACTAAATCAATAGTTGTACTTTCTAAAGGATCTTGCAGAAACCAAGATTTAAGCCTCAATTGACAAAGTAAAACATGAGAAGGAAGCGGATAATACTTGTTAACCTCAAACATTGGTGCTGCAGTGGGACTGCAATCAACATTCACAACGACCTTTCCTTTGTCAGGTTGCAACGCATTCGGCCTTCCAAGTTCTGCCTGCACTCATTCAAATTTACCAGAAAATATGATATTAAGAACAGCAGGTGCTATTTAAATAATTAGACTAACAAACAACATAAATTTAGTCATAACATTCTAAAAGCACTAGTATGAGCTTAAGACCAAGACTAAATGATACCTTCACACTGGCAATGACATCTGTGGCACCCATCCTGACCCTTGCTGAACCATTTGCCTGCATGGACAACATCAAGAACAGGGATTATAACAAAGTAAGTAAAATTTCACGTCACCCAGGAAAATCTATACTTGAAAATTCAAAACCTGGTTTAGGCCAAAAAAAAAAAAAAAACTTCCTTTCAAAAGAAACATATGACAGAATATTAACCTGGGAAATGACTCCAGTTTCAACATAGATGGGCCGAGTTGTCAATCTTTTTCGGCCATCAGATCGAAGATCCTGAGCAATGCCACCCTGTATAAAATGCTTTTCTCCTATGGATAGTCCCACCATTTCTGAACATGTAATATAGAAAACGTTTATGATACAAGTAACTTAATAGATATCAGGAGACAACAGAAGAAAAGAAAAAAAACTTAACACTTAGCAAAGAGAAAATCTACATTCTACAGGGTGCCAAATCAAGGTGAACAATTAAGTCTAAGCAAAGGCAGTCACTGTGAATGCTCACATATCAATAAAGAGCAAAGAGAACTGGCTGACCAGATGGGTTCAACCAAGCAACCAACTAGCTATCTTCACAACCACAATTATCTAAAAAATTGGTGCCCTACTAATCCCATCTATGCAAAAATTTGCCAACTTTCCAATGAACACTAACAAACAAAGAGAGATAATTACCAATCAGAGACGATGCTGACGAAGGCCTAATGAATGAGAGAAGGCTGTGGTGATGGCGGTGGCGGCGTTGCTGAGGCTGAGAGAGATATGGAGGGAAAGGCTGTTAGGGGCTTAGGGTTAGGGATTTCCAAAATCAAATTAGGGCAATTTGACACCTTCTTCAAGTGACTTAGTGACCACTTTTCTTTTTCTCTTTACTTTTTCCCTATTATTTCTTTTAGTGGGAACGCCTACCTTCGCTTGCTCGTCTTATTATGCTCTTCTTCCTAACTCGTCATGCATACTTTCATGTAAGTAATACCTAAGTGATTATTTTCATTAGGTTCAGAGGAATTTATTTAACCTAATCCTTCACTCGTCATGCACACTTTCATATAAGTAATATCCTCATTATAAAAAAGAGTTAGGCTTGCTGTCTAAGTTTCCCTTGTTTCCCTACATATACTCAAATAATATGTGGGAATTTTGGCAGGCTGGATGAGAGGAAACGTAGGACGGATTTCAAACTTGAAAGAAATCTGCTATACCCTGACCCTTTTGAGAAGAACCTCTCACCCGAAGGGAGAGAAATATATCACCGCTTCAAGGTTTTCATGCGGTTCCACTCAAACAAAGAGCACAAGGAATTGCTCAAGAGTATCATTAAGGAACAACAGATTGTCAAAAGGATACTAGATCTTCAGGTCTGATGCATGCCTCACACTTGACTTCTATTTCTGTTACCTTATTTCCCTCTATATATAGTATATACTATGACTGTTGGTTGCTCCAGTTCAGTAAGTAATGTTAACAACACTAGATTAAGTGATTGACAAAGGTGACATTATGCTTGTCACATGGTTTTACATCGCTCTAAGTAAAAAGCACCATGGCTTCCCACAGTTAACATGACTAACAAGCTCATATGCAGCTCAAATTAATAAGCGATCATGTTTTATGGCTTCTGCTTTGCATTCATTATGCAGGATGCTAGAACTGCTGGCTGCAGGACAGCTACTGAAGCAAGCAGATACCTTGAGGAGAAGAGGATGAAGGAAACTGAAGAAAGTTCCTTAAGGATCAAGGAAAGCTCTCAGGCTGGTCTAAGTGGTAAAGGCTTGCAGATAAGTCCTCGGGGACCCTTTAAGGGATCCACGGGTCTGCATCCTGTTAGCAAGGACTCATTTTTAACTACGCAAGCTATTTCCAGCTCCTTGGACTATTGGGACATCACTGGGCTAGTCGGGGCCGATTTACTCTCCCAAACCATAAGAATACCAATCTCAGAGTCTAATGCTTTAGCGTAGAAAGCGAATTCTGTTTGTTGATATGTTTTTTAATACATGCAGGAACAAAGACTTTGCAGTGATATGAGAATCCTACCTTCACATTATCTGAACATGCTGCAGACCATCTCCACAGAAATTCTGAATGGCAATGTTAAGAAGAAATCTGATGCCCATAGTCTGTTCAAGGTTGAACCATCCAAAGTTTATAGGGTTTACGATATGCTGGTGAAAAAGGGAATGGCTCAAGCATAGTTATGTGTACAGTTGTATTTGTTACTTGAAGGCAAAAAAAGCCCATTTTGTTCAGCTATCTTGGCAAGAAGCCCAGGCTATTTTAATAACCCGGATAAATAAAATTCCTATTTATACAAAACTCATAAACAAAAGAAAGATTACTGCCATTGTTTATGTTGATTTGGCCAAAACAAAAATTATAAATTTCATGCAGCAAAAGGATCATTCATAATCAAAATAAACATCTGGACGAAGAATACTACATGACTAGACTGGTAAAGGCAAATGGGAAATACCAAAGTACAATTACCCATCATATTTATACGTATCAAGTAAACTCGAAATTTTTTTTTATACTTATAATGTATTTACGCCTGAAAAATGGTGGATGCTAATAAAAACAAAACTGAAACAATAACAAAAGGGAAGCATTACAAATATTCACTACAAAAAAAACAAAAACAAAAATTTGTTTTTTGGTTTTTTCTCATAGAACCCAATTCACTACAAGTCAATAAAATGATTTTAATAAAAAGAACAATAGAAAGTCCCAGAACCTGAACAAACTAGGCGAGAAAGAGAGAGAGAGAGAGATAAACATCAAAATATTAAAGTACAATTGAAAAAAAAAAAATTGCCCACCAAGCTGAATTTCGCCGAACTTGGATTAGTACCCAGTTTCAAAAAGCTAATGTCTTCCCACTAAAAATTTTAAATTATCCTAATCTCAGTTCACTTACTCCTAGAATGGAACAAATGCAAAAAAATTAAGATGTTGTATAATCTCTAAAGGTGGAAGGAAACAAAGCCCGATGTTGCCTCAGCTCAATCTGCTCAAGAAGAAACCTTTTCATCTTCATCTCACCCAAAATCAGTTTTTTCCGTGTTATATTCAATATTTACCCGCAATGGACGAACTATAACTAAATCAATAAAAAAAAAAACGAGAGCATAGAAAAAGAAAAAGGAGCAGATAAACAAACTCAAAATAAGGAAGAAAGAGAGAGAGAGAGATGACCTCAACTATGTTTTTCGACGGAGTTGTTACCTGTGATGACGGCGGTGAGGGCTAGCGCCTTCCTTGTGTAGGAGAAGACCGAGTGGTGAAGTTGATTTAGCTCCTTTGCTCTGTAGTGCTTTGGGCCTTTTAGTTTGGGTCTATACCCACCAAGGCCAACATATTTCCAACCCAATGCAAATGAAATACTTTATTTATTTTTCGCAAAAAGGCAAACACTCGCTGTCATTGTCAGCTGAGTAAAACAAAAAAACAGAGTTGAACAATTGACAAGATCTCAGTGTAAGCTTAATTAAGGGCTTCACACTCAATCCTAGTGGAACTCAAACTCATGTGCACAAGTAGAAATCATAATCAAACTATGCTAGTCCATTGATTATTAACTGTAGAATTCACACCCCTAGTCCATTGATTGTAGTGCTTAAGGTGATCGAGAGTTGCAGAAGATCTTGTCATTCTAGTAACAAGCATGCCTTCATCATGTAAGTGATCGAGGTATTGTGAGTTTCCTAAAGACTGCAGCAATTTATTATAAAAGTCTTACATTTGATATCAGAGCCTAGTTCACAATCCCTTGAATCCTTAATATAGATTAATTTTTGATTCAGTTCTTTTATATGCTATATCTATCACTAATTTGATTTGTGAGTGCAGAAAAGATAGCCATGATGATCATGTTCATAGAATGGTGTTATGCAAAATGATACTGACAAAGCAGTTCAGTTTGCATTACATCTTACTGGTTTCTGGTTTTATATGATCACCAATTGCATTGTAATTCATAACATGTAGAACAGTTCATTGCTTTGTGGTTCGAATAACAATGGTATAATACAATCTATGATACATTTGAATCATATAAACCTTTCAAGTTTTTGTAAAGCTAATTCATATGGTAATCATGTGTTGGTGTTATAATAAAGAAAACATCATATACTCTGTCCAAAGATGAGAATATGAGACAGATTCGGGGATAAAGATTTTCACATTTGCATGTTCAGTGAATGACAGTTTTGGATGCCCTTTCCGTGAACCTCAGCTCCATAAGAACCACTTACAGGAATTAACTACAAAATAGTTGGTAAAAGTTTATAGGAATATTTTCATGACGCCTGAAAGATATATATAGTTGGTATAAGTTTAAAAGTTGGATCTCATGCAGCATTACTAATAAACCGTTGGATCTCATTCATGCAGCATTAGATACAAAAGGTTTCTTCTTGGTTACGTATGTTCTTCAATCCTTCCATGCATCCAATCCAATACGCTTTCTCAAGGACAACAAGAGAATCATAACATGAAATCCCAAAAGTTTCTTTTGGTTCTCCTTGCTGCCATGGCTGTGTCTGCCCTTTTAGCAACCTCACGTACGCATGAAATTCATCTTGTTTTTGCAAAACTTCATGTGAAGTTGGGAAAAGTGTTGCATTGCAGATCAATTTTATTTTCCTTAATTACATCAAAATGAACAGCAACTAGTTGCTAACAGATGAAATTGGTTTTATTTATGTTTGAATATTGCAGGTGTTGTGGATGAAGAGAATGTGGAGCCACAAGGTCACTCGCAGCCGATTGACCCTTTTTGCTATGGACTCTGCTCAAACACATTTGGAGATGCAGATTGTTTTGCATTATGCAAAGCCAAACAATTCAAAGACGGGAATTGCATTGTACAAACCCAGCAACTACAATGTTGTTGCAGCCGCTAGAAAAAGACAGACACAGAGACAAGTTTAAATTGATTATTCGAGAAAATAAAACTATGGCCACACATGAATCATGATCTTCCTTGTACTTTTTAAATGAGGTTTTATTTCTTCAAATATGTAATGAAATCTCCATTTCTTTGCAATGAAAACCATTTCTCATACTTACTCGTGATGATGACGATGCTTGCTTTATTTCACTTTCAATTATCTTAAATACAAGTCTCAGTGGCGCATTATCGTTATAGGGAGCACCACTTTCCACGTTACAGTTTGCTCACTTTGAATTTCTCTTTCACCCATTTTATGCAAACTTCTCTAACAGATTCCAGACCAACCGCAATAACCTCTCCAAACAATACAAAAAGGAAAATGCTAGGGAGACCAACTTGGGTCTCTCTCTCTCTCCATTATATGCTTCAAACCTAGTGTCATTTCACTCTCTCTTTCTTTACACAGACCACTACTGCTTAAGAGAGAGGGAGAGGGAGAGAGAGAGGAGAGAGTGCTCAATTTAAGTTGTTGATTCTTAGAAGCTTCAATCTATGGCTTCTTGGGTTCTTTTACCAGTAACTCCAGTAACCGGTCGCTGTCTAGTAGCTCCCGTGAGAACTCAGAGGTCCTCCTCCATCTGCGTTCGGTCTTCTCTGGACACAAATGTTTCTGACATGAGTGTAAATGGTAAAGTTCCCATATTTTTTCGCTTCAATTTGACAATTATCTCTCTTTTTAATTGTTATTCAATCTCTTTTGATTTCTGGGTATTCTTACTTTTGGTGAATTATAATGAATTTGAGGAAACTGGTGCTGAGAGCACTATTAAGTTAGTATTCTGAGATGAATGTTTACTCTGCCAGCTCCAAAAGGGTTGTTTCCACCTGAACCTGAGCACTACCGAGGTCCCAAGCTGAAAGTGGCTATAATTGGAGCTGGGCTTGCAGGCATGTCAACAGCAGTTGAGCTTTTGGATCAAGGCCACGAGGTTTGTCCAATTTATTTTCTAGGCCTCCGACTGCTCACAATTATGTCTGAATTGTATGTTTCTTTCAGTTTAGTTTTTCATTTCAGTATATGAATTAAAGTTTTAAAATTGGAAACTTTGGCTGAAACGTTTCAGTGGCTCACTTAAGATTTTCCGCTAGGTTGTTTCTTTCTAGGAAATTAGTTACATGTGTTCTTTGTAAATTCTGTAGGTGGATATATATGAGTCAAGGCCTTTCATTGGTGGAAAAGTGGGCTCCTTTGTTGATAAGCGTGGAAACCACATTGAAATGGGACTCCATGTTTTCTTTGGTTGCTACAGTAATCTTTTCCGATTAATGAAAAAGGTGAACAAATATTGCTTGGTTGAACTGCTATGACATTTGGGTGATCCTGATGTTCTGGGAAAAGTCTTATAAACAACTTTATTATTCTTTTTTTATTCTTGGATCTCCACTAAAACAGGTGGGTGCAGACGAAAATCTACTTGTCAAGGATCATACTCACACTTTTGTAAACAAAGGGGGTAACATTGGTGGTATGTCTTGGTGCTTGATCTTATTTGCTCCTAAATCTTTCTTCTTCTAGCCATGCTCTATCTTGTACGTCACAATTTTCATTTATGAATTATTCATAAACAATGTACCTTATCTGTTACTTAATCTTCCATCGCAGAGCTTGATTTTCGGTTCCCAATTGGAGCACCAATACATGGGATTCTTGCATTTTTGTCTACAAATCAGATTAAGGTAGGTTTTCCCATTGCCACTGCTACTGGGTTTACTGCAAGCATTGTCATGTCTCATTACTTTGGATACCAGTATAAAGAATGAAGCATTTCTTTGGCCTTGAACCAGGAAAACAGTAAAAGAAAAATATTCATATGTCTTTTTCCTTGTTATCATTTAGAGTTCCTCTTGGAAGTGAACCGAATTGTAATGGAGCTTATTGCTCAATTAGATTTCTGTTAATGGTTTCCTGTATACTATTGTTCAAGTGCAGACTTATGATAAAGCAAGGAATGCAGTGGCTCTTGCGTTAAGTCCAGTTGTAAAGGCTCTGGTTGATCCAGATGGAGCATTGAGGGATGTACGGAATTTGGATAGTGTAAGAATCAAAGCTATCGTTATCGTTTATTTTGGTCTCCATTCATATTGTGTACCTGTGAAAGTTGTCTGGGAATGTTCTGCAGTTCATTTTCTCCATGTTCATAATTCAATTTTAAGTGGTTATTATTTATTTTTCACACAGTTGTTGTAACTTTTTAAAATCTTACTTGTTAATTACAGATAAGCTTCTCTGATTGGTTCTTGTCCAAAGGTGGCACACGAATGAGTATCCAGAGGATGTGGGATCCTGTTGCATATGCACTTGGGTTTATTGACTGTGATAATATTAGTGCTCGTTGTATGCTCACTATATTCACGTTGTTTGCCACTAAGACTGAGGCTTCCCTGCTACGTATGCTCAAGGGTTCTCCAGATGTTTACTTAAGTGGCCCCATCAGAAAGTATATTATTGACAAGGGGGGCAGGTAAATATGAGCTTTGCATGGCAATGATGAGATAATGATTTATGTTTGTTCTTATATTTCTCATATATAAGTTGATTTCTTAGCACTTGGAATCTCTTTTTCTGTTGTAACAGGTTTCATCTTAGGTGGGGATGTAGAGAGATACTGTATGATCAATCTGCTGATGGAGAAACATATGTCGCAGGAATTGCCATGTCCAAGGTAATGCACTCATCATGTTGCTTCTTTTATTGTGTTGAATTTAGATGCTTCTGGTGGAACTTGGGCTTCCTTAGTGTAAATACCTAATGTTTTGTTTTTATTGTAGGCCACTAATAAGAAAATTGTGAAAGCTGACGCTTATGTTGCAGGTTTGTGGTTTACTTTGCTGCTTTTTTTTCCTTCCTAATTTGAAATACTATTTCCGATTTTGGTTGATTAAGTTTTTCTCTCAAACTATTTCATTTGTTAACAGCGTGTGATGTACCCGGAATCAAGAGACTGCTTCCGCCTCAGTGGAGGGAATGGGATTTTTTCAATAATATTTATGAGCTAGTTGGAGTTCCTGTTGTCACTGTGCAACTCAGATACGACGGTTGGGTTACAGAGTTACAAGATCTAGAACGATCAAGGTGATTCTCCCTTACATACTGAAGTTCTTGTCATGTGAAAAGGGGTTGCTTTTGTATAAAGGACCTTGTAGAAATCTTTTTTTTTTTCACTTCTTCAAGACTAATGGACAAGGATACTTGTGTTTGATAGGCAATTGAAGCAAGCTTTGGGATTAGATAATCTTCTTTATACTCCTGATGCAGATTTCTCTTGCTTTGCGGACCTAGCACTTACTTCTCCGGAAGATTACTACATTGAGGGACAAGGTTCACTCCTCCAGTAAGGAAAACATGTGAATTATTGTTATCACCATTTTTCAATCTTTAGGTTTTACAAGTAGAGATTACAAATTAAATAACCAGACACCTTATTTTGAAATTTTCAAATAAAACTTTATGAGCTTTCTTGAAAGTTCATTTTGCATCTCAGTGTGTCAAAACCCATTCTAATGTGAGATTATTGATCCTTTGTCCATCTTTGTATTTCAGAAATATTTGCACTTTTACAATTTTGAACTTAGCTCTGATGCTTCTTCGTCTTGCAGATGCGTTTTGACACCAGGTGATCCTTACATGCCTTTACCAAATGAAGAAATTATAGCAAGAGTGACGAAGCAGGTAATTAGCTTATTAAGGGCGCATTTTCATACCTTAAGCAAGTTCATCTGCAGTTAGAAGAAATCGATAAAAACATCAAATTCTGAACTTTGAAATTTTCATTTCAAGGTTTTGGCTTTATTCCCATCATCCCAAGGTTTAGAAATCACTTGGTCATCTGTTGTCAAAATTGGGCAATCTCTCTATCGGGAGGCACCTGGCAAAGATCCATTTAGACCTGATCAGAAGACACCTGTAAAAAATTTCTTCCTTGCCGGCTCGTACACAAAACAAGTAAGTTTATGCAACTGATTTTGTAATAGAAGAAGAATGATGAAAGGAAATTGTCTAGTTTGTAAAGTCTAAATGGATGTACCTTTTACAGGACTATATAGACAGCATGGAAGGGGCAACTTTGTCTGGCAGGCAAGCTTCTGCTTATATATGTGATGCTGGGGAAGAGTTGGTGGGATTGCGAAAGAAGCTTGCAGCCCAAGATTCAGGGGAATACACAAAAGCTGCTAATACTACTGATGAGCTGAGTCTTGTCTAACACATTTTCATTTGTGATTCATTAGTTAGCACTGAGAAAAACCACCTCAAATCAAAATGTCATCGAGACAGGCGGTGACTTTGACACAAGTGCACTTTGTTTATTATCAAATGCTTTACAATGGTTTACATCATATAAAAGTATAGAAAGGTTATGAGAAGAATGTAGATTTGGTGATCATGATGAAATGTAATATGCATATTTTGTGCTCTTTGTGAGGAATGAGAGCTCCTGTTTATCATTGAACATTGCAGGGTGGTCTGATTTATCACATCCCATCCAAAAATATACTTTGGCCTCCTTTAAAGGCTCAAGAGGAAAAACTGAATGAGGCAACTTACCTAGTTTACAGTTATGCTTTGTCTTGCTAATGAGAAAACATTGATAAAGAAAAGAACACCGTATTATGTTGATAATTCACATTTCATCTTTAGGCAGCATTTGAGCAAGATAGTAAGTTAAGCAATTGCACTAATAAATCAATAGCAACCTGCACAATCCCATGAACAGACAGAAACACAACACAGCAAAAGCAGGCAAATCAAACCCAAAGTAATAATAATACTAATATTGCACCACAAGTGTGACTGCATCAACAAAACAACACAACTTTATTATTCAAACACAACTTCATTACAGAGACCATATTGAACAAGCATCCCCAAAATACATACAGAGATCATATTGAACAAGCATCCCCAAAATACATACAGAGATCATATTGAACAAGCATCCCCAAAATACATACAGAGATCATATTGAACAAGCATCCCCAAAATACATACAGAGATCATATTGAACAAGCATCCCCAAAATACTTAATAACACATAAAGCATCATCTGATTCTTCAAGACTTGAACACAACCAGCAAGTACTGAACTTTCCACAACACAAGCTGCCATTGATTATTCTCACTTCGACCCATTCTCCAATTCCTGCTCAACAGCCATGTGTGCAGCCTCAAGTTCCTCATCAAAGAACATATCCCACTGGCCCTCCCATTTGATAAAAAACTCAGTATCCTCATAGTACTTGACTCTGTGCGAATCCCCGGCTGGTGTAAACAGGTAATCTCCGACACCCAGATCGTACCTCGCCTTCTTCGTCAAATTCCACACGCTCTTCTTCCCCTCCAACACAACCAAGTCGTGCCCAAACGTGTGGCGATGCGCAGGCTCGACGCTCCCGGCCTTGAACCTGACTATCGCCGATGTTGGAGTCTCTCTCAGAATCTTCATCGACCCACCAGGAATAATATCAATCGGGTTCAGTTTCCGATTCTTCACCAAACAACAGAGATGACAAGAAGCCTCCTCCGAACCCAAAGCTGCTTGCTTTTCTTCTTCAGCTCCAATTTTGGGCATTTCTTTAATCGAATTGTCGAGAAAAGTCTCGATTTCTGGAGGCCAGGGCTTGGAGTCGGAGGCGGGACAGGGGGATTTGAAAGGGGTGTTGAGCCAGGTGTCGAGGATCTCGATGGCGGAGTCCGGAGCCGTGGACATGCCGGAGACGGCGAGGACGTTGGAGTTGTTGATGGAGCGAGCGTTTTGGGCTTCGGAGGGGTTGAGACACGTGGCGGCGAACACACCCGGGAACTTGTTGGCGAAGATGGCGACTCCGACGCCGGTGCCGCAGGCGACGAGGCCGCGGGTTTCGACGGCGCCATCAGAGGAGGAGGAGGATACGCGGCGGCCGACATCGGCGGCGATGGAGTAGTAGGAGGAGGTGCCGAGGTCTTCGACGTCGATGTTGAGAGAGCGGAGGTGGGAGACTAAGGCGTCTTTGAGAGAGCAGCCGAAGGAGTCGGCGCCTGCTACGATTTTCAGTGGGCGTTTGCTGCTCGCGTCCTCGGCCATTGTTTCGCTACGCTGAAGAAGATGCTCACTCAGTAAATCGCTTGCGTTTTAGAGAGACTGATGATGATCAGTGAGAATAATAAGAAGATGAATCTGGACCAAGCGAGAAACCGAGTCTTCGCCATTCTCACTGTTTGTCTTACTTTGTCACGTTTAGATGCGTTTAATTATGCGTTTTCAATTTAACCCGGGCCCATACATCTTGGGTTCACTGGGCTCGTCAACGCAATAGGCCCAATTTCTCCAAACCCAAAATTGTTTTAACAATTTTGGTTTTAGCCCGACAATTCTGACCCGAACCGACCCTTGCACTTCTCTCTCTCTCCAACTGTATTTAACAGACTTGGCGAAATCTATACCCGCCAAAACAATGGCGGGAGGATTGTGTTACAGTTGTACTGCAAGTGTACGGCTTCCTATGCTCTTGCAGTCCAAGGTAACGTAGAATTCAATTATCAATTTTACTTGAATTCCTGAGCGTTGGTGTATCTCTGGCCCATTTATGACCGTTTATTTGCCAGACAATCCGTGGCACCCGATGCTCCTCAGCCGCACCGGATAACAACAGAAACAACAACAATCAAAAGGGAGAAACCCCACAGGTTTTGAAAATCGCTGTGAGCGGCGTCACTGAGCTTCTCAGGCTTCTCTCTTCCTTCCACAAAACAACCAGGTATTTTTCCCATTCTACCCTCGCTTCATTTCCCGTTTGGTTTCCTTTCCTCAGAAAATGTACAAGGAGAAAAATTAAAAATTAAGGTCCCGTTTGATAACTATTTCAATTTCAGTTTTTAGTTTTCATTTTTTGTGCTAGAGTATAGAGGAAAAAGAGGGGAAATGGAAGTGAGAATGAGAGTGGAGATGGGATTGAGAGGGGAAGAAGAGAGGGGAGGATGGGAGGGAGGAGTAACAAAAGTGAAAACAAAAACTAAAAACTGAAATCTATTTGAAATTGTTTTCACTTTTGTTACTCCTCCCCCCATCCTCCTCACTAAAAACTAAAATTGAAATGATTATCAAACGGGCCTAAAACTTTGAATTTGAATTCTTGAGCTTTCTGTTATTTAATTTGATAAATGCATTGCAGACTGAATGGAGTGAGTGACAAAGGGAGAGATGAGTTTTCAGTTTCGGGCATTGATGAAGTTGTAATGATTCTCAAATCTGATTACGAGAATGCATATTTTGTTACAGGTACCTTACTCTTTGAGAGACACCTTCCTGTGTTATTTCTCTCTTCTACTCTATGTAGTTAACTTACTTTCCATTGCAAATAGGGATTTTCACTTCTGCAATCTACGCTGAAGATTGTATCTTTGAAGATCCAACTATCAGATTTCGAGGTGAGAAAATGTCTATTAATAGCATATTTTCGGCATAACTTATCGAAAACATTGAAGCAGTGTGTCAGTTTTGCCTTTTGTAATCCAAGTTCCAAAAGAAAAGCGAGAACTTGTAATCTGTCCACACTAAATCCAAAGGCAACCATTGTCCCATTAAATCTTACTAAATTGTTCAGTTTTCCTTCAATTAATGTTACCAAACTGTGTAACTGCATTTTGTTTCACTGGTACTATCTACTGTGATGAACACACACATACGCATGTAAAAAGATGTTTGCTTGTCTTATAGTAAGATTCTGATCACATGATCAAGTTTGCCCTACTCACTTCTCTCTCTGTCCCTTCCCTGGTTGTAAAAATTTTGGACAGTGTGTGCAATAATTCCTTGTGTGCTAATTTATGTGAGAATTATGAAGCCTCTAATTTGCATGGTCTTTGGCTGTTTAGGTAAGGAGTTGTATTCTCGCAACTTGAAATTGCTTGTTCCTTTCTTTGAATCTCCATCAATTGGGTTAGAAAAGATTGAGAAGGTAGTCATTTCTCAGTGGATTGTATTTGGATTTCAGTACTATAATCTAAGATATATATGATATATCACAGCAACATTTAGCATGTTAACTGATTAATGTGTGCTTCATTTGAAGCCAAGAGCAGACAAATCTGAGTTAATTACATATGAACTCTGTATGAAATTTATCTTTCTTGGAAGGAGTGGCTTGTGTTTTTCCTCACTTAAAAGTTTCTTTGTCATGACTATTTTCTTAGTTGTTTTAAGCTCAGTAGGATTTGTAATGACTGATAAGTTCAATTGGATAAGTAACGATTAATAATATGACTCTCTGCAGGGTATCAATTCTGAAGCAAGTTTTGTGCTAGCAACATGGAAACTCAGGTTCTAACTTGGTCTACTGTTCTTTAATTTAGAGGGTCACTGATTACTAATCTGAAGCAAGCAAACCACCTATTTTGTGCGGTGCGATAGGTTTGACTGCATTAAAATGCATAGGGGCAGAGAAATGACCTGCCCTTTATTTTCAATTTCAGTTTTGGCCTTTGAAATTGAGACTAGCAACATTTTTCCACCCCTTCTTTGAAGTGATTCTCTCTGTCTGATTGTGTGAACCCTACTGCTATCCTTTCAACCCCTAGCTGTGGGTTCAGCCTAAAAAATTTCATCTGGTCTGCAGGACCTACCTGAAACTTCCGTGGAGGCCTGTCATTAGCATTGATGGAAGCACGGTCTATGACTTAGATGATAAGTTTAAAGTGAGAAAACAAGCGCTTTTATATGCTGGATAGTGATACTTAACTTATGGTGCTTTTGCCAGGTTTTAATGGGTGCTTCCCACTATTGGTTTAACAGATTGTAAGGCATGCTGAGAGTTGGAATGTCTCTGCAATTGAGGCAATTGGCCAGCTGTTCACGCCTAGTTATGGAAGGTCCAATGACTGAATATCGCAAGTCTTAGAAATCTGAAGGAGCTTCAGGTTCATTTTACATTGGTTAGTGTTTCCTTCCATTGCTAGAATTAGACCTTACTTTTAGCATATTGTTTTCGGTATTTCTTTGACTTGTGTACCATTACCCTTCGTCCTTTATATATATATATATATTAGGACCTTTCCTATTGAGAGGGATGATAATTTACTAAACTCACACACACAACACGGATGCTAGGACTCGAACCCATGACCTTGCCTTGGGAGCAATTACTCCAAACCATTATACTAGTGGGTCCTTTGCTTTGTGCTGTGTATATGGCTTTGAAGTTTATAGTTGCATTTTATTTACGTTAGCCAAAATTCTGTCTAATTCTGTAAAGACCTTCCAATGCCAATGTGTACTGGATGTTAAATTTTGTATTCCATTTTTTGCGCTTTCTGTCGGTTGGTGTTGTCAATCAGGCCAGACAATGTGCTCTGAAAAGCCGTGGCAGGCTTTTTACCCGCCAACTTTGTGCCTCTAGCTACTGCAGACAGTCTGCAAAGTCAAAGCTCTATGAATAAGATCGTAACAGTTACCATTGCCAAGTATTGTTATCAAGGAGATATGAATATTTTTTAGCGGTTCAGATTATTACGGGGGAGAAGTAGAGGCATACGTTTGCAATGATGATAGGGAACATAGCCATCAAGCAAGCCTAGACATAAACTATAGGGACAGTAAAGTGGTAATGAGAGTTCCTCATGTTCTTGCGCAGAAAGTCCAGGCTTTTTGTGTAAAGCGCATTAAAAAAAGGCTACTAGACCTTTCAAAATATGTTAGAGAATCCAAAGTTAGAACTTGTAACAGTGTGTCTGCGGCTACGGTTGTGACAGTTCTGTAATGCTTTGATTTTGGCTTCTTAATCTATCTCCCTTTTTCTTTTTCTTTTTAAATTAATTAGGATGAGTTGATAGACTTCAAATTTTGAAAATTATAGTAAGAGTGCAATGGCTCAGCTGTAGCAGAAGTTATATCAAGCACTTCTTGCATATATATATATTAATTAATACACAAGGAAAATCCCAAGAAATTTAATTTACAACACTAGGGAATTATTTCCAATCTCAACGTTTCCTCAGATTGGAATTAATAGATAAAGGGTCAGTTCATAATTCACATTGCTTTGTCAGTCCCTCTTCCAAGCATACAGCAACAGAGAAAACCCCCCATTACTACCACATGACCTAGTGGATGAAGAACATGAACTTCTCCCCCCATCACTACTCTCCTCTGCCCATTGCAACACACTTGAGCACGACGGTGACGGCGACAGCGAAGTCATCGACGGCAATGATGCCGAAGCAGCCGATGTTGACAAGCTCTTCCTCATCAACCTCTTCTCAGGACCTACCATTTCTGGCCACACCCCACCATCACCCACTTGAAAAACAAATACACCATGACCATTCCCATTAGCACCGTTATGATTATTAACCCAGTTGAACACGTCCCAGTAAAATTCAAATTCAACTCCACCAACAAAAATTCTCTCATTGCCTCTGAATTTCCAAGCCAACCTTTTGACAATCAGGCTTGTCACTCCATCTACTTTTACTTTGAGTGTACCCTCGCTACACTCTATTCCAATTTCATGTTTGGACCCCAAGAACTGAGCTCTGGATATGTAATTCCTGCGTCCAAACACATGTTCCCGCCTTGACAACAGGGCAGGTTGGCTGAGTTTGTGAGTCACAACCACCCCTGACCGCCGAGTGAAGTCGTCCAAAAGATCCCCAAGAAAGAATTCAAGTTTGGCATTGCAAGAAATGGAGATGTAGAAGCAAGACTCGGGCTCAGCCGAGTTGTGAGTGAAGTCAGCCCGGGTGAAGTCCCAGTAAAGTTTGATTCTTTGGCAATGGTTGTGGGTTAGAGAGATGGATTTGGAGCCTGGTTTGGTTCTGAAGAATGAGAAGGTTGATGGGTTGAGGGAGATGGTGATGGAAAAAGAGTCTGAGGCATGAATGGTTAGAGAGTGAGAGAAGAGGCTTTTGGACCAAGTGAGAGTGAGATATGTGGGTGAGTTGCAAAGCTGAGTTTGATATATGCAGGTTATAAGGTTTTGGGGCACTTGAGAGCTGCTTGAGAGTGTGTTGGGCTGGCTGAAACATGCTGGGATCATGGTGTCCAACATTGCTGCTTGTTACTCAAAACCATATGCAGTTGAAGAATTGTGGGAAGTTTTAAGTTGATGAGAGAGAGAGAGAGAGAGAGAAGTATGAATGGGGTGTTTGGAGGTTTGATTATATATTCATTTGGCTTTGTATTGATGGGTAGTTTTGTATTTGAGAGGTTGCGGAAGATGAGAGAGAGAGAGAGAGAGAGCGCTTTGGAGGCGTAAAGGCTTTGTCTTTGGGTGGGTGTTGATGGGTAGTTTGGGATTTGAGGGTTTGCTATAGTAGTATAAGAAGAGCTTTTGGCTTTTGGATTTTGGCTTGGGGCTGTGGCAAAAGAGTGTGCTTGTGCTTTGAATCTTGAATGATGAAAGTTACAAGGCTCCCATCATCACAATCATCAGCACCAGTAGCTAAGCCTTACACGTACAGTTCATTCATGTTATATTCTCCATAATTTGCGCCTTTGACAGAGTTTTAAATATATATATATATATATATATATATCTCTCTCTCTTTCTCTCTCTCTCTCTCATGGTCATGGGAATGGGAGCGAGCTGGGTTGCACTGGGGGCTTCTGGGTCACAGTTGCAGGTGACTTTGGTTTTATTTTAATTTTACTTTTAGAGGGCAAGTGAGTCCTTTTCTATAATAATTTGTTTTTCCTCTTGCCATCTCAAAAGGAGTTCAGAAGATGGGGCCTTGGGAAAAGGAGAAAGAGTCCCCAACCACTTTTGTATGTTAGCTTCAGTTTCATTCATCCATCTACTTCTGGGGAGGAGGGAGAAGAGATGACGACAAACCAACTGCAACATGCCTAGTAGATAGTAGAGACCAAACTTCTGCCATTATATAATACACAAAAATCAGAAATTTTCATTTTCATTAGTTTTTTTCTTTCCTCTTTTGCTTTGATTTTCAACATCTGATAATCTTTTTTTTTAATTGCCGATAAGTGTGTTTAAAATTGGCCTAATGAGGATGAAACAAGTTTCTCTACCTAGTGGCTTCCATCTAGCTAGTAGCGTGGTGCAGTTTCTGAGGCAGATTTTAGAGGGCAAGGTCTCTTGGGTTGCATGCTGTTTGTTTGGCACATTTCCAGCATAATCCCGAACTCCTAGCCAAGGATCATTCTTCTTTTTTTGGGTGGAGCATGGATTGGATTTAGTCCTCTTTTCCAATATCTAGTTTACCTACAATTAACCTACCCATCTCCGTCAAAACCAGAAATTAAGAACTCCCATGTGTCATTTGTACTTTTGTTTTTATAGCTCTTCAGATAAATAATTATCTAAAAACAAAGGATATAGTTCTGCTAACTATTTTGACTTTTCCATTCAGCCTCTTCTTTCTAAAGACTAATGGAAAAGAACACTCTTCTTTTGAAAGACTAATTGAAAAGAACAAAAATACTCTCTAGAAGGAGAAAAACTTGGCTATTCCGGTTGTATGTGCCGGATGTGTGTGCATATCCTTCACATGCATCCGGGGCATGCATACAACCATTTTCAGCTAATTTTTTATCTTTAACATATGTGACTTTACCTTGTACGTTACCAGCAAAATAGCATTTTGTGAAAACGGATCTATAGGTAAAGTCTGTAAAGACTTTAACCTAAAGTTTACTACAATACAATAATTTGTAGATCATCCTTTTGTAGGATAACATGAAAGGGATTAGGGCCCAAACCAAACCAACAACAACAATTTGCAGACATTTTCCAGAAATTCCAAATGAAGAGTGCTGCATATATATTACCAGCTGTAAATAAATCGAACAAATATTCTGAAATTGCAAAAACCGGTAAACACGTGTGGCTATGGATATATTATTGCAAGCACAAAACATTTACAATCTGGATTGGTATTTGGTAGGATGGCAAAACAACATACAAACATGCATCATATGAATTAATCTCTCTAGTTGGCTGTTCGAGCCTGTTCATGTTCAGCCGCCTTCCTAAGGAGGCTGCCATACTCAAGTGCCACGAGAACGGGCGAACCGCCGATCCCTCGTGCCACGGCGAGCATGGTCTCCATTAACAGGGACTTAAACTCATTACAATCAATCACACCATTTTGATCCGCATCAAATCTCTCAAATATCGCATCATGCATAACGTTGATCTCGTCCTTGGGCTGTGACACGTATCCTATGCCCGGCAACAGTTTACCAAACCCTGCACGGAGCTTTTCCCTCGATAAGCCTCCCTTGCCATCCGCATCAAGCGCACCGAAACATTCCTTGCTGCATTTCTCAAACGACGTCGCGTCTTCCACGAATCTGGTAACGGTCAAGTTGTTTAGGGCATGAAGAACAACGGCGCTCGTGCTCATTTTGAAACAAGAAAATTGCAGATCGGAGAAACACAGCTATAATAATGCCCAACTCTCAATCTATTTGATTAAAAAAAAAATTATTCTCTGCGTTTTTGTTTAATGTTTGGTGTACAACTTGTCACCTGTTTTTTTTTTTTTTTTCAATTCTGCTTTTATATTATGGAAGACGTGGTTGGCCCCTAACTTTGGGGGGTGGTGTGGTTGATGTGCCTTTATTTTAGGGGTTTGGGTCACACTCAATTGATATTCCTATTACAACCCAATGAAGTTCCACCAATACACTTGCCCAGTTGCGTGGCTTCTTGTTATTGGTAGATTCGTCCATTTCTCATTTTTTAAATAAAATTTGTTTGAATATGTAACATTTTGAAGACGTGTTGAATTACAAGTGATAAGCCAAACAAATATTAAATATTCACACAAATTCAGATTTTATGATTCAGCTAGTTTCAAATGTTGTAAGGGATTAATTATATTTTTTTTTTATGTAAGTGGGGGTTTCTCAAATATACTACTAAAAGCATCTCCAAGAAAGTCTCCTCCAGCAAACTACTTAGAAGTAATTTCCTCCAGCAATATTCTATACTTTAGCTAATCTCTAATATTTTATTCTTTCTCTCCTCCTCCCTAAAATAAAAATTCATTAAAAAATCAAAAAGTAGGAGGTGAGAGAGGGTTGTGTGCCTAGGGAGAGAGAAGAGGAAGAAATGGAGAACCCTCAATTTCTCTCTCCTCCACTCCAAATGTAGAGATCTACCAAACTCAAATAGGGAGTTCTCCAAATAGAGAGCTAGATAACAAGTCTGATGGAGCTGTGTTTTGCCCTCATTCTAGCCAAAATGGCTAAGGATCAGAGTATAGCAACTCTACTGGAGATGCTCTAAGGTGGCATAAGAGTTTGAAAATATGAGCATTAATATGCAAATTAATGTCATTTTTCGCTAAACTAGACTCCATTGGAAGGGAGACTGCTTTGACAATGTTTTTTGGGCTCAAAGTCCGTTCTCTCAAATGAGATGGATACAAAACAGAACGAGGATGGAAGTGGTTCGATCTTAGGCAAATGATTTTTGGGCTCAAATTTATTAGTAGGCCCAACCGAATTCAATCTCAAAGTAAGCTTAACCCAAGCCAAGATGTTTTGGGCTAAACAATTTGGTAAGGCATAGCTTCATTTCTAACCAGGTTTAGGCCCAAACCTTGGGCCCTTGGCTAAACAATTTGGATATAGCTCCATTCCTAGGGAGCTTCTATAATGAGGGTTTATAGTGAGGAGGCTATTTGAGAAGGCCCATCTCACCATCAAAAGGGGTGTGGACCCCCCAATGCACCCCTTTGGTAAGGCATAGCTTCATTTCTAACCAGGTTTAGGCCCAAACCTTGGGCCCTTGGCTAAACAATTTGGATATAGCTCCATCACTTCCATCATTTCTAACTAGGTTTGCTTGGCAACAACATGCTCCAAGGAACCCAAAACCAAAAACAAAAAACAAAAAATTACCGGATATTGATAATGATCAAGAACATAGGATCCCTACTTGTGCTCCCTAACCTCCAAACATCACACATGCACAATTAGCACACACCAAACCAAATTCAAATTATCCATACCAAATTAGAACATGGCTCTGAAAAATTATAATGCATTTTTCAACACATTATAATTAATATCTGTATTTTAAAATACTTATAATTAATATTAGATTCCACGTGGTGCTACAGCAACCCTGCCCTACCCATGCAACCTTCTTTCGTTAAATCTAATGGCTGTTAATTGTGTAGCAGATCTGTGGGCGCTTTGATTGATTTTTAATAAGATTCGTTTCGTTTTATTATCAGCAATGTTGTCACTAGAATAATATGCGAATTGTTAAACCAATATTAAGGTTAATTATATATGACTGATTTTTATTAATCACGGAAAAATAAATAAAGTGTTTTTTTAAATAAATAAAAAAAGGTTTGGGGGCTGAAGCGATAGCCGCATATGTTAATAGTTCATAGTGTAAAGAGATATATTACAGTTTTTAAATAAAAAAATTGATCAGTTATTGTTGAATTTGACTACAAAAATGGTCCTTGGATACTGAAAAAGAAAGGTGGAAGGTGTGCACGAATGTAAGTTTAAGTCTAAGCCTAAAAGTCTTCATATACTATTTATGTTGAATATGATTCTTTACGTGTGAAAATATTGTAGTTATAATCAAAATTATCATGTTTTAGAATTTAAAGCTTCCGAAGAAACGTATGAAGTTTGCAACTCAAGTAGTTAAAAATAATTATTCATTCGCTCCAAATCATGTATTCGATAAATATGTTTCTTTCAACACTAGTGACCAAGGAATCGATTTTTCTTAAATTAGGAATTCCATAAAATTGCTCATTCTTGTACCACAAAAAATGGGTCAAAGCTAACCAACGCACGTGTTCGATAGTTTGACTTAAACTCATGTATTAAATTGAAGCAAGAAAGTGGACTGGTTTGTATTTTGCATTACCCTAATTTTCGAATCTGTTTGTTCTAATTTTTTTTAAATTTTTTTTAAAGCTAAAAGCTTGTGGCTTCTTGTTTTGCCAAAGGTCCAGATGAAAAATTAAAAAAGACCTAGAAATGGAAAAGCTAATTAAAAACTGGGAGCGTCATTAATCCCAAAGTAGTTTGGTTGGCTTCAGTTTTGGAGTCACCCTTTCGTATATTATTGACTGTTATGTGTACGGCATTCGTGGATTCAACATCAACTAGTCAAACTACGAATATTGAAATTCCTCATGTTGAATATATATATATATATAATGTTATTCTTTTTAATCATTATTATAATTGAAAAAGTCATCATGCACAAAGCATCACGTAGTTAAAAGGATCTTATTACGTCTAATCAGTAGATTTTAAATATTAAAAAATTACACTTGAACAAATAAAAAAGAGATTTACATCAAGGCTTTGTTTATTTATAATTATAAAAAAAAAACCATAGTGCACTAATTTGAGCTCAAACTTCTCTATCTTTGACGAATAAATTAAAAATTGGTGCCTGACTTGGCATCTATTTTGAAGATGGATTCTTTACTCTGTTTTACTCTGTTTTTTAAATTGAATTCTTTACTCTGTTTTTTTAACTCGAATTCTTTACTCTGTTTTTATACTAGTAATACATAATTAAGTCTGTTATTATATATATGGACGGACGATCTCTTACCAAATATTATTTTTTGTTGCTGGAATTATATATCTGCTCAGTCCTTGGATACCCTTATATTATTTTTCTTTTGTTGCTGGAATTATATATGCCTGATCTGAGACAGACAACCCCGCAAGTAGTTTTATATGTATAATCAAATTTTCCATTGCTTTACATTACATGTGATTTGATCTAACCTCTTAGGGACCTAACAGCATCAAGAAGAGTCTTCAAATTTTAGTCACATTTTAGCTAAATAGCTAAAGGGTTTCCTCCAACAATATTCTCTATTTTGACTAATCTCTAATATTTGATTATTTCTCTCTCCTCCTCTCTAAGTAATAGGTGAGAGAGAAGAGAAAGAAATGGAGAATTCTCAATTTCTCTCTCCTTCTCTCTAAGCATAGAGAGTCACCAAACTCAAATAAGAAATTCTCCAAAATAGAGAGTTAGATAGCAACTTTATTTGAGCTACGTTTTGCCCTCATCCTACCCACAATGACTAAGGAGACAACATTTAGCTAAATTTGTCTAATAACTACTGAATTATATAGAGATGTGAAGGAACGAAATAAAGATTCTGAATGCAGTGATACAATAGTACACGGTTGTACATAGAGATTGTACCCTCACTCCCAGGCTAAACCACGTTGCCCAATATTTTCCTTGGTTCAATCATGTTGGCTCTTTAGGAACACATGATCATCAAGATATTGTGTCTGGAGATCCAGGATCTTGAATTATATAATTTCTCCCTTTCCAGTTAAGCACAGAAACCAACCTACTTAGGTAATAGCTAGCCTTCGGATTATGAAAGATTTATGGTACATGTATAACGATGTGTGTAATTGTAAATCATTGATACATGTGACATACGCTTATGAAAGCGACTAAGGCTGGTATATGTCTACAATACAGTTACCCAATTGTTTTTCATGCATGGAAAGATGTAGAGGTTGACTAAACATAAAGCAAATACAGGTCTTTGACCTAAAAATAATAATACAGGTCGCTTCTGTTTTATATGTCCTCTATCATATTTCAGACAGACACAGAGACCCCAGTGTTTTTGTAGTAATTCAAACTGATATCCACGACCTTAATATTTCTTTTTCTGAATAGATGATTTCTGGAATTTCATTAAGGTTTTCTTTAAATTAAAAATAATAAACGAACATTTGCAATTGCAGCTTCTAGTTAATCTCTGATTTTCAAATTGGGTGGCTCATGCTACTCATCATGTCTCAAGGAAAATAATGCATTTGAATGAATTGAAATCTTCCAAGTCTCAAGGAAGCTGAGGCAAAGCCAACCCACGAGGCCAATAAGCAAAGAAATAAATAAAAAAGAGTAAGTGGCAGTTTGAAAAGGATATCACAACACAAGAGCATATGCAGTGTAACTGTGTAGCCCTGACAAAGTCACATGAATATGAGTCCAAACTCCTACCCATGTTACCAAGTACACTGTCTTTTCTTTTCCTATCACTTTTTTTTTTTTTTAAATTCTTCTTATGAAAATGAACCACCATCAAAACTCTAAATAAAAACAAACAAATATGAATTACTGGCCCTTAATATTTAAATGGTTTAATTGTTACTATCATCTAGAATGAAGATTAACTTCCATCTTCCTCAATTAGGGAATGATGATGAGTGATGATATCTTGGATGTTTGTCAAAACTAAAATAGTTAGTGACAACTGACCGTAGTTTTTTTTTCCAAACGCGTTCCTTGAAAGTCAGCATTTTCTAATGCCAAATGAGTGCATTAAACTGTGTTACTAAATAAACAATTAAAAATATAAAACCGGATGAATAACAAATGAGCAGATGAAAATTTAAATTATGCGCATACATAAAAAGTGTTATGAATTTATTTAAGTATCGGAAAAGTAGCAAGTGTTAATAATTTCTTTAAAAAAGATTGCTAATCATTTCTCTTTCATTTTTATGATACAAAGATGGCTAATCATTTCAATTCGTTCAACAACGCTTGTGTTTAAGTTTTTTGAATTTTTGATGGGTCGACGGTCAGCCCCACCCACACAAACCAAATTAAACCAAACCAAATTAATCAAAGATGAAAGCGTACGCATTTCCGTATTTACGTATTTATGAGCAATGGTCTGGTCTGGTCCAACCCAAAACGCAAGTTTAGGTTGAGTATCAAGGTCAGCTCAAGTGGGGCCCTTGGTTTCTAATCAATTACTTTTTTCTTCTTTTTTGCTGTTGTTGAAAATCAGTTACTTTTACTCTCCTCAAAATTTGCACCCTACCATACCCTCCTCCACAGGATAAACTTACTTGGAACAAGAATAACATTATTTTGTTAGGTTAATCACGATATGATAAATTTTTCATGTGTCAATATGTGATTAGTCAAAAATAATAAAATAATACTATTTTCGATTCATAAAAGTTTTTCTGCCTCTGCAGTAGAAAAAAAGTATAGAGTTTTTGGAGTTTATCAAGCAGCGAGAAAGACTTCAGTCTTTGTTTTCTTCTCTCTCTCTCACCTATAATAATTTGACTTGCATTTGTTTTTGTCACGTACCGTCGTGGGAGATGGGACTGGGTGTAGGTTTTGCCTTGTTTGTATTCACTCACAAGGCGTGGAAAGAGTTTTACACCTGCTACAAAACCTTGCTGTTATTCTCCTTTTCTATCTCAAATATTACATAATAATAAACAATTAATATTGTTGTTGAGGAAAAAATAATGTTCCTTTTTCCCTTGGTCTTTTAATTTTCATCCCCTGAAGCGTTCAGAAAGTGATATTTTATGATAAAATTATAAATCCTCTCTCTCCATTCTCTGTGTGTGTTTGTGTGTTGTTTGTGTGTCAGAAGAGAGGCAGCAATAAGGCTAATCATAGCAAAAGCTAAAAAGAGAGCAAAACTGAGAGATACATAATAGATTGGTTTACAGAAATGAATGGTCTTCTTGAACCAGATTACTCTGACTCTGAGTTTGTTGAAGTCGATCCAACTGGGAGATATGGCAGGGTAACTAAACCTCTCTCTCTCTCTCATTTTCTCTGTGTCCTCTGCTTAAAGTTTGATCCTTTTTACCTGTTTTTTTGGTTGCAGTACAATGAAATCCTCGGCAAAGGAGCCTCAAAGACAGTGTATGAATTCAAGCTCTTCTATTTCTTCAAAAATCATGAAAACCCAGTTAGATTTCTCAAAAAGTTGAACTAGTTTTGGGTCTTTCTGTGAGTATATGGAAATGATACTTGGTAGATTTTTTTTGAATATATATATATATATTTTTGGTGTTTTATCGTTGCAGTTACAGAGCATTTGATGAGTACGAAGGGATTGAAGTTGCTTGGAACCAGGTCAAGCTTTATGATTTCCTGCAAAGCCCTGAAGATCTTGAGAGGCTTTACTGTGAAATTCATCTCTTAAAGACATTGAAGCACAAAAACATTATGAAGTTCTACACTTCCTGGGTTGATACTGCAAACAGAAACATCAATTTTGTGACTGAAATGTTCACTTCTGGGACTCTCAAGCAGTATGTATTTTGTGAGTTTTTAATATATAAAAAAAACAGTTTATGCTTTTTTTTCTTCTTCCCTAAATCCATTTCTGATGTATCATCTTTTCCGGGTTTTCTTTTTATCACTGGTAGGTACAGGCTAAAGCACAAGCGAGTTAACATCAGAGCAGTTAAGCATTGGTGTCGGCAGATCTTGAGAGGGCTTCTGTATCTACATAGTCATGATCCTCCTGTGATCCATAGAGATCTCAAGTGTGACAACATCTTTATCAATGGAAACCAAGGGGAAGTGAAGATAGGTGATCTTGGTTTAGCAGCAATCTTAAGGAAATCACATGCCGCTCACTGTGTTGGTATGTTTTGTTTCATAAATTATCATATTTAGACTGCAAATTTTGTTTCTTTGTTAATTTGTAAAGTTGGTTGGAATAAGGGAGAGTTATTTAAAGTTAATATGTGTTTAGACTTTGTTTCCTTTTTATTAAAGTAGGGACACCAGAGTTCATGGCTCCAGAGGTGTATGAAGAGGCATATAATGAGCTAGTTGACATTTATTCATTTGGGATGTGCATTTTGGAAATGGTCACTTTTGAATATCCATATAGTGAATGCACTCATCCTGCTCAGATCTACAAGAAAGTTGTTTCTGTAAGAGGATTCTCTTTCTATTTCTCTTTCCCTTTGTTTCCAGTTGCATGCTTTACTTTCTATAGGAAAATTGTGACATCTAGATTCCTTTCTCATGCTTTATTTCATAGGGTAAAAAACCAGATGCTCTGTACAAAGTAAAAGATCCTGAAGTACGACAATTCGTTGAGAAATGCTTGGCAACTGCATCTTTGAGGCTGTCTGCAAGGGAGCTTTTGAACGACCAATTTCTCCAAATCGATGAATGTGAATTGAACGACCAATTTCTGCAAATCGATGAATGTGAATACGATTTGAGACCAGTAGATTATGGCAGGCAGATAGATGACATGGGTCCTCTTTTAAGGCAGCCTCTTTTTGAGCTTCATCGAAGCAACAGTTCCTTTAGTAATGGATACTCAAATGGTTTTGGTTATGATTCCCAAAATGAATGGGGGTATCATCCTGTTGATGCGGAGTCAAGTGGAATTGAACTCTTTGAGCACCATGACGACGAACATTCTGAAGATGTTGACATAAGTATTAAAGGGAAGAGAAGAGAAGATGGTGGCATCTTTTTGAGACTTAGAATTGCAGATAAAGAAGGTTGGATTGACTTTACTCTCTTTCCAAAGTTTATATGTGGATTATTTAATTGTGGAAATTAATGTACCTCTGTAAATCCTACTGCTTTGCAGGTCGTATCCGGAACATCTATTTCCCATTTGATATTGAGACCGATACAGCATTTAGCGTGGCAACCGAAATGGTTGCAGAGTTGGATATCACAGATCAGGATGTAACCAGAATAGCAGATATGATTGATGGGGAAATTGCTTTGTTGGTACCCGATTGGCAGCCAGGGCCAGGAATAGTGGAAACACCCCGATATGCTAACCAAGGCTTCTGTCACAATTGTGCTTCCAATCACACCTCTAGTGGTTCCATGATGGAATTTCTGTCAAACAACCCTAGTGCCAAGAACTTGCAAGTTCTTCAATGTTGTAAACAAGGATGTGCTTCGATGCATGGCCGTTTTGAGGAGATTACATACCAAGCCGATGAGTCTGAGCATCATGTGACAGAGGGTGCACCAAATGAATCAAGCCAATCGGACTGCCTTCATTACCAAGAAATTTGGGGACAGCACGAAAGTCGCGAACTTAGTTCAATAGGCTCTGGACAGAGTCATTCTGATGGAGAATATGAAAAATTGGATCAGTTAGTCACGGTTGAGGATGAGCAAGATCTTGAATTGGAAAGCAATCCTGCATCCCATGCAGGAAATTCTACAAAAAATTTATCCGGTTCACATTCTTTTTCTATGATCCCTTCAACTTACCATGAACTCTCAGACACTCATGAGAATGAAATTCAGGAGTTTAGATGGCTCAAAGCAAAGCACCAAATGGAGCTGAGGGAACTTAGAGATCAGCAGATAAGACTTGTCTCAAAATCTTCAGATAATGGAAGTAAAGAACACGAATTAGCTAATGGGGTCTTGTCATCTTTGGTATCAAGCACATTACAAGGACTCAACAATGTGATGCTCTCAAAATCTTGTGCTTATGATCAAAGAAATTTAAGTCCCAATTTCCATGCTAATCTCAATAAGAGCTGCGAGGCGATGGAGTCTCCTAATGCTGAGGATGAGGTCACTGCCAAGAGTTTCTGCACAGGATCATTGCTTCCTCAGTCTCTTCGCAGGACAGTTTCTCTCCCAGTTGATGCAGTTGATGTATAAACTTCCCAGGCACAAAATGTATTCTGTTAGACAAGTTCAATACACTTGCATAAGCTCTATCTTTGTATGGTTACCAAGGTCATCCCTTTTTCTCCAATGGGATGTGGCTCTCCGGGAAACTGGGATGATGTGTAATGTATTTAGTAATCATGCGTAATTATATATACGAGGGGAAAATGCAAGTTTTGAGGCCTATAAAGATTCTAGTCAAGTCCTTAATATTACACATTAACTGCTGACCTTAGATGAGCACTGTTTTGCTATTCTCGGTCAATAATGCAATGATACGTAGAAAAGTTACCCCTCGTGTGATTGCACTATTGACCGGAACCATCCCTCCAATGGGATGTGGCTCTCCGGGAAACTGGGATGATGTGTAATGTATTTAGTAATCATGCGTAATTATATATACGAGGGGAAAATGCAAGTTTTGAGGCCTATAAAGATTCTAGTCAAGTCCTTAATATTACACATCAACTGCTGACCTTAGATGAGCACTGTTTTGCTATTCTCGGTTAATAATGCAATGATATGTAGAAAAGTTACCCCTCGTGTGATTGCACTACTGGCCGGAACCATCCTGCTGTAAAGCCACTAGGCTATCAAACCATATCTTCATCTTGTGCCAAAAACTTGTACCCAAGTTGTACTCTTTGTGGAAGTGCGCTTTAATTTGCAGGGTCAAAACTCGAACCAGAGAGAACATCATTTCTTTTTTCTCCTTTTCTTTTCTTTTCTTTCTTGGTTTGTAAAAGTGGGTAGCAAAGTGGACGCCAAGCCAACTAGTCTTTTGTTTATTTATATATATTGCTATTGCATGCTGGCTTGGGGTGTTGAATTCAGACCAACTCAAATGGTTTTAAAAATTGTAACTTTATTGGAAAATCCACACCAATATAGATCGTGGATGCGTGCGTGAAGTCTTCGATATACATCAGAATCAAGAAAAACAAAAAGCACTTTGGGTTACCTTACATAATAAATTAATTAGTAATGTAGGGGGATTGGATGATCTTATAAAAAAATAAGTAAAAACTTTGGAAAAAAATCAGATTATTTAGGCAGCACGAATCACTCTCACGACTTTTTTAAGTTTTAAAACCAGATAATGATGACAAAAAATATGCGCAACTTTCTGATAATTTGACACCAAATAAGGGATAAAATCCAAATCGACTTTCTGGCCAGATATGGATAATAAATATACTTGATAGTTCTTAGACAACGAAAGCCACGTGCATGCGACCCATTGCCCATTCCTCATAAACAAATCAATGAGATATTTTGTTTTTCTTCTTCTTGTTCATCTCTTTGGGTGCCCAGCCCAGCAATCAAATGCGTGACTGTGACTATGATTCATCAAAGTGTAGTGGAGGAGAGTTGAATACTTGAAAGTGATGAAGGGTTAAGAGAGCCTCTTTTGAATGATTGGAAGGGTTGCATGCTTACCACCTTTCTCACTTAAATAATGCCATGATGTAAACTTGGCTGAGTTGATGTTGAGTTTGCTTTGCGAAAGTGGGAATTTTTATTTTTAATAGAAGTGATAGTCGAAAATAAATAAATTTAATTTAATTTACGAGGAGGGTTTCAAACTTGAGTGCAAAGAGGCGGGTTCCCTTATTAAAATCTGCAAGGTGGGAACTTTTTAAGTCCTGAAAAATGTATTTTTTAACTACCTTATTTTAATAAATAGTTTTCACCAAAAAAGTGTTGGTGGGATGGAGCTACCTGCTGAAATATTCCCATTTTGAATTAAAAAAGCATGAGAGGAACACAAGGTTTTCACTCAAATATTGTCATAAAGAAATTTCGTAGCCAGCCAGCCTTCTTACTCTTGGTCTTTTGAAACGTTTATTGCGAGCTCTCTTATAAATGGGATTGCAGACCCACAAAAAGCAATTTGGAGCTTTTGGGAAAGTGGAATATATTCTTATTTCCAATATCTCATACCAGAAATGTGTGATTTCAAAAATGTGTATTCCATTTGACAAGTTGCAGATCTTGGTTGAAACTTGAAAGTGGTAAGTAAATATTCCACTTTCTGAGGGTGCGTTTGATAACTATTTTAATTTTAGTTTTTATTTTTTGTGTTAAAGTATAGAGGAATAAGAGAGAAAATGAAAGCGAGAATGAGAGTGGAGATGAGATTTAGAGGGAAGATGAGAGGGAGGAGTGACAAAAGTGAAAACAAAAACTAAAAACTAAAATCTATTTGAAATTGTTTTCACTTTTGTTACACCTCCCCCCATCCTCCTCTTTCATCCTCTCTCTCAATCTCATACTCACTCCCATTCTCACTCTCATTTTCCTCTATGCACTGGCACAAAAAATGAAAACTAAAAATGAAAATTGAAATGATTATCAAACGTCCGTGAGTAAATTGCTGCATCATGTTCCTGTAAATGTAACTCTCTGTGGTAGATTTCAGAATATGACTTCCACTTTCCGGGTTGGCATAAGACACCATTATCATTGACTCAACGGATTCATGAATGAAGGGGATTATAAACTATAATATTATTGGAGTTGGACCACTTGGTAACTTTGCCCAACTTGATTGGACCCAACCTCCAACCCAGTCTGTGTCTAATGTCAATTTATCTCTTGAGGACCTCAGCCCATTGAAAAAACAATGATAAAATTTTGCGGCTAAAAAGCTAGAGAGTTGAAACTTCTCTGCCGAAAGTCATCCATTCTTAAGGAATGTTAGGCAAACTCCACAATAACTGATACGACTAGTTTTGAAGCTCAGTTCAAACCTCGATATGTCCTTGTCATAATCCTAACCAGATGTAACTAGTAACCGAGCCACACCATTACAAGGAACTATTGTTGCTCGATTTACTTACTAATCTATTCCTAACCTTCTCCTTCCAAAGAAAAAAAAGGGAGCTGCTCTTTTGTCCACTTTACACTCTCTTTTGTTTTTTAATACTTTTGTAATTACCATTACAAAGGAGTGTAAGTGGACAAAAGGAGAGTGGAAATCAGGAGCAAAAGATATCAGGTCAAACCAAAAGATTAGAGCCTCTACGTTTAAGAGTCAACTAGTATTCATTACTATAAGAAACTTGCTAATTATTATATCTGGCCAGCTATGTATGTAGTCTAACTGTAGTTTTTGTTGTATTAAATTTGCTGCAGTACATCTCTATTACACGGATGATTGTAGTTTATGCGAGGAAACTCTGTACTAAATATAGAAACCTCTGTACTAAATATAGAAACCTCTGTATAAAAGTTGTATAATACAAAAAACACAATTTCTTAGATATTCAGTATTTCTGTACACCATAGACATACCCTAGTTAAGTGGACGTTCATCCAATATGCAGTCCGGTTCATACCTCTTGCAGCATAATGCAGAGTGGCCGGAATGTTCTCTCATAAAGGCCTCAGAAGCGGGTAATCTTCAAGTAGTTCCCGCTCCGACAGAGTGTCAGTTTCATTCTGAGGAGTCCACAACACCTCTACTGCCTGCAGGAAAAAGAACAAAATTATATGTATCAAGCACAAATAGAAAAAGAGAAACTTACAACTTCCACGTCAAAGTAGACATTTTTCTCTTACTAATATTTTGTTTGAGGGAATGGATCCAAGCTTTTGCAACGCTTCCTTCAAGTCACCACTACCATTGATGGCGGGCAACTTATGCACTCCTTCAGCAGCCACCAAAATCGTTATCTGATCAAAATCTGGTCAGAAAACAGATTGATACAAACATTTCTATTCCCTAAAACAATCCTGAAACTAGCCAACTCAATTACGAAATTCTATCTCATTCCTCAAAGACTAGAAGAGAAGAGAAACTAAACCATGTCAGAATTATAATAGAGTCATGACAATCACTTCTTACATTAACACAGTATAAGTCATCAATAGTACCAAAATGGAAAGACTACAAAGATGAGGTCAAGAAATGTTTATAACTCCTCTGCAAATTAGGCCAGTTAAATTAGGCAGCCCACTGTTTCTAAAGCATGGCAAGAAGGCTTTCCTTATCATAATTGACCAAAGAGTGCTAAACTCTATAACACAATGCTTACATTTGAAAACACTGATTTTTCTAGAACATTTGAAATGTAACCTGTAAATGAACAACATAGGTTTGTACTTCGGTAAATGAATAAAAATTGGGAATGTGTATTATCATAAGCCATCCCAACTCTATCTTACCACTATATATTCGTTGCGGAATCCATTAGCTCTCTGGCTTGATGAGCTTTGCCTTTTTATGTTGTTCACATTGACAAGTGTCTCTTCGTCAAATTTACCCCTTTCTTCAATAGAAAGCTGATTAAAGCGTTTCTCTGCATCCTCTATGCCTCGCTTTTGAGCAACCTACAAGTATGCCAGAAGTTATAGTTCATGTTGATACAACCAAACATGTGCACCAGAAATCTAAGAGCAGCAACGGTTTTGATCTTTAAAATGTTAGCATGTGCTGTTTGGATTTTTGATGAGTAGTTGTCAGTGCCATATATTATCTCATAAGTTGTTAGTACAATTGTTTTAAGAGAGAGGAATTCTCTTGAATTATTATTATCTGATTTTAGGCTTTCTACCATGTCTGATAATGGTAAGCAACAACACTGATGCACTAAACTGCAATCGTTCACCTGCGTAGATTAACCAAATCATCCAGAGGATGATATTGAACTTACAGATGAATAACCTGAGATGCAATAATCAGGATGCCGAAGCAAAGCTAGTGTTGTCTCTGCAAAGAAATGTGTAGTAAAAATTGCATCAGAATACCTAAAAGAAACAAAATAAAAGATACAAAACAGTAGCAGGGTATTTTGTATACGGTATAAAACCCAGTCCTAAAACCTCAGTTGCAGTATGTGTCTCTGTGTGTTCACCTGTCAAAACATATCCCAAACCCTCAGAGGTAGAAGTATCTGCAGTTTCAGCAATCCGATTAAGATCCCTTTGAAGTGCTCGCCCCATGCCTAACAAACCAACCTTAGAGAACGGGATAAAATGATGGTGAAACTATCAGATTGAAATCCAACAGAAGAGTCAACAAAGTTCATATCACATTTCTAAAATATAAGGCTAGTGGAACAAGAACATAAAATATCAAACAATCAACCCTTCTTTAACAAGTGCCACCACAAAAAGAAAAAAGCTCCACCTTTTGCTGCTACAGCACAAAAATATTAGTTCTACAACCAACCCATCCACAAGCTAATTGAAGGAAATCTATTTGCAATAGAAACTAGATTGAATGCCAAGCAGGGACAACAAGTCAACAAACAATTGATTGGGTCATATGTATGAAAAGCTCTAATTTTACAAGAAAATGAGTTTCGGAATTTCAAACTACATGGCAGCAGCACTGATATTATCAATATTAAGAAAGCATTCTGAAAAAAATCATTGCCTTGTGACAATTAAAATTTATAAGCATTCAATCACTCAAATATGTATAAAAATGCGTCAACAAATTAAAGAATGAGAATTCAGCCATACCTGAAGCTTGAGAACACTTGTTTTCTCGGTAGCAGTAAGCACACTACCCTCGGACCGATCCGAGAGGAACCCCGAAACCAAAACAAACGCAGCGAAACCCGTCAAGATCAGAAAGAAACTCGACCCGGCACCCACTCCGAACCCAAATGCTGGCCCAACGTAAACCCCACCACCCCCACTGAACCCGAACGGCGAAGGCGCGTAGTAAGGCGCGGAGTACGAAAAATCGGGTCTTGAACTTGAAGTCCTCGGCACCGAGTAGCTCCTCGACGACGACGACGAAGAAGACGACCGCGACGAGAACGAGCTCCCCCCGACCCGCCCTCCCGAGGCGGCCAATGCCGAATTCGGGTCGGACATCAATAACAGACCCAATAAAACGGCAGCCATTGCCGGCTTTCTCAACGCCTTGAGAGCATTTAATAGTTTACTGGTGATAAGCTCAAGCGGGTTTGCTGGGTTATCTTTGATAACAGGGGACAGAGACTGAGTGTGATCAAGGTCTGGTTTTGAGTCGGTTGAGTGCTTGAAGCATTTGACCTTGAAATTACAGGAAGCTTGTTCAACGTCGAAGGTTGAGCTGAATTTGATTGGCTTGGTGGGCAGAGGACGAAGAGGAGGCAAGAGAAATGGGCAGCTGCTATGCTTCCATTTCAATGGGTTGGGTTGGAGCAGCGAAGCAGTTGCCATGAATATTTGCTTCGAGTGTTTTGGAATTGAAGGAATGTGAAGGTGTGGACGATGTGTGCTTTGTTTTGAGAAATCAAATCAAATTGGGAAGTTGTTGTGGCCGCTGGCTAAGCAGCTGTCGTCTCGTCCCTTTGATTCGTTCAATCTCAGCCTCATCTTCGTCGTCTCTTTTCTCAAGAACTCATGAAGATAGACGTGCTGGGCACGTGACTTCCACTGAGTCATTGACCCGAATTAATCAGGGAATTTGGGCCTAGTCCACAAAGATTTGAACATATTTTGGCCCAAACCAAAAGCGACCCAAAGCTTTCGTCCTCCTTCAAAACCCTAATCCAATAAAAGCAAACTTTTCTTTCTCCCTTACCCTCTCTGCCTCAGCTGCTGCTTCTGCATTTCCGCCTCATTGCCCTCTGGTTAGGTATCTTCCATTCCTAGGCTAAGCCTATCAAAACCAACCATGGCGGACAAGGCAGTCACCATCCGTACCAGGAAGTTCATGACCAACAGGCTTCTCTCTCGCAAGCAATTCGTGAGTACCTCCCTACTTTCTTTCTTTCTTTCTTTGGTATACAACCTAAACCTAAATAGTTTTAGTCTTTGGTGTTTCAATGCGGTTTTGGATTTCATGTTTATTTTTACGTGCCATTGCTCTATTTTAGTGTTATTCTCTTGGTTTTCTGAACTTCTTTTTATGTTGGATTTGAGAGGGTTTAGTCGAAAAGCGCGTTGAAAATGATTTATGGGATGTTGGTGTTGTCAGCTTTCCCTCGTTAATCTTCTTACGGGTTTAATTGTAGTGCCTCTGTTACTTTTGTTCCCCGTAGGTCATTGATGTTCTTCATCCAGGCAGGCCAAATGTTTCCAAGGTATTGTTGTTTTTCTTTTCAAATTTCAGCTTTTACATAATTGCTTTCAATATTGTTTGAACTTTATCGACTATATATTTGTTATTTGAATTTTTGTCTCATAAAAAAGAGCAATAATGTGAATTATGCACTTGCTCAGTAATAAAATGTATTGGTTTTTCGGTCTTGTGAAGGCTGAGCTGAAGGAGAAGCTAGCTAGACTCTATGAGGTTAAGGACCCGAATTCAATCTTTGTTTTCAAGTTCCGGGCTCACTTTGGTGGTGGTAAATCTACTGGATTTGGATTGATTTATGATTCTGTCGAAAACGCAAAGAAGTACGAGCCAAAGTACAGGTTGATCAGGGTAAGTCCAGAGTTAAATAATAAGTTCATCTAAGGTTTTCCTTTTTTTTCTTTTTATGTTTTAGTTTAACACTAGGAAATTCCCACTGCTAGAACTGTAGCTAGCCCTGCTGAAGTGATTGTGATTATCACCTGAGTAACTCCTATGCTGAATTAACTTAAGCCAAGTTAGTAAGAACTGTAGAGATGTTGATTGTTTATACTATGAGATGCCTTTTTGTTTTAGTTTCTGCCGTTCATCCAATTTAAAGTATTATCAATTTTAGTTTATTTATTTTCCCTAAATAAATAGTCTTTCTCAGAACATTGCTTGATGATCGGTTATTTGCAGTCAGATAATCTCGTTTAATTGGATTTTAAGGATTTACATGTATTATAATTCTATAAAGCCGATCACAGATTGTGAGTTGGTCCTTTGTGTTTATTAGTTTTTTTTTGTATTTTTTTGGCATGTGGTAGTAGTTGAGCATGAGTTAATACTTATATCTATTGTTTTGCTAAACTAAGCTTGGCGAGCAAGATTAGATTTATTTTTCTTATTATTGGCAATAATCTCCGACCCTTTTATTTCCATCGCTTGATCGTTTTCATAGTTTGTTAGTGTATTCATACCACTGAAAATGTTTTTTATATGGCAGAATGGACTTGATACTAAGATAGAGAAGTCAAGAAAGCAGTTGAAGGAAAGGAAGAACAGAGCCAAGAAGATCAGAGGAGTAAAGAAGGTAAGAGAGTTGCTTATATTATTTGCTTGCGTAATTATAGTTTGATTTCAGTACTTTGGTTACAATTATTTGGTTCCTTTGGCGCAGACCAAGGCTTCAGATGCTGCCAAGGCTGGAAAGAAGAAATGATCTCAGTAGTTTTGATGCTGATTTTTACAGCCCATAGCAGCAATGGGCTTTCCTTAAATATGTTTTGCCTTTAGGTGCGTTTGAAATGAAGCTTCTTTTAGTGCCATTGTGGGTTTTATAGAGCCAGCGGCTGTTTAGTTTGTTTGTTTGTTTGTTTTTTTTTTCTCTTTTTGTTCTTGCAAAATTTCAGTATTCTGAAATGGACAAATTTAGAATATTGAGTAGCAACAGATTTCAGATTATTTATTGACTTCCATCATTTAGTTGTGATTCTTGCCAATACTAGCGTAGCGATTGAATGTGACGTTTCCACGGGATGATTGCCAAAGTGCAGATGCTTCCTTAATCTTATTTATAAACATCTATTTAATCGGGTATTATAAAAAGCTCTTTGATTAAAAATTCAAGTTCACTAGTTATTAGACTTTACACATTGAATAACTAATCTAATTCAACAGATAGTTTGAGCAACCAAGTCGAATTAGGTTTTGGATTTTTAAACTTGTTCACAGGACCTCATGAGCCTTGCCGCAATACTTATTGATGAATTTATATTTAGCCTTTGATATGTCAGGAGTTTCTGGAGATTGCATGGGGTAGAACTTATAAATCCTCATATTTTCAAAACCCTCCTCCTCTGCCTCTGGAGCTGCATGAACATTAGTACTTTTTCGCATGGCTTGTCTAAATTCCCGTTGATGCTTTCTCTTTGCTCCATATAGTTTGTCCAGGACATATTCCTTCAAGCCAGCCTTCATAACTGGAGATAACTCGTTATCGTCTTTTAACTCATCTATGATGGTCTCGGCAACTCCATCTATCTCGCGCTCTACCCAGCACCAATGATCCTCTTCTTCCTTGTGATCCAAGTAAGGCATGTAGTGTTGAAGTTTCATGGAACCTTCTTCCTTCAAGGATTTCAAAGCAGCCCTAGCCCTACTATGAGTACTGCCCCAACACAAATACTCGAGCAGATTTCAGTTTCATGGAACCTTCTTCCTTCAAGGATTTCAAAGCAGCCCTAGCCCTACTATGAGTACTGCCCCAACACAAATACTCGAGCAGATTTCATCACTCTCTCAGTTTCTTGGGCGTCTCTCTTCTTGTCCGGAGGAATGTACGGAACCCAATCCATGTGCAACTGTTTCATTGGAACTCTGGTTTCTTCCCCATTTCCTTGGCTATCAAATGGTTTGATGCTCAGTTCATAGGCAGGCTGGAAAGGCGATACAATGGCCACCACCATAGGGACTGTAATTTCTTCTTCAGAGCTTCTCTGGATATGGCATTCGATTGTGCCGAATAGATACACTTTGTTGCTATCTTTGCCGATAATCTCTTGATGGAGCTTTCCTCCCTCTTCCAATGCTTGTTCCAGACTGGTGAAATCCCACTTGAATTTGTTGTGCACAGCCTCCATTTTGTCCCAACCTGTCCCAACAGGAAACGCAGCCTTCCATAGCTCTTCCAGTTTTCGGGTCTCCTCTGGGGACTCAGGTTTGGGGCTGGGCTCGGGCTCGACTGCCTTGACCCGCTTTCGCAATGACTGAGTGTCTGCAGGCTTCTGGCTGGCCTCTATTTCCATCTGTCTAACCTTCCTCTTTGCTCCTCCTTTCCTCATTGTAATGATAATTCTATGAGAAAGGAAAAGCCACCGTTTAATATATTTATAGGAGAGTGAGTGGAGTAGGGGTTTCCTATTTTCCTCGTCAGTTTTGGAAAACTTTCGTAATTAAAGTAGCGTCCAACCCAATCACATAAATTAGAAACCCACCCAATTTGAATTTGCAATTGGTCTTTAGAAGCAATTCATTCAAAAACCCAAAGGGCCGAAAGGGAACCAAACCAGGCCCAAAACCAAATTGAAAGTCAACGAAAGTAGACTAACAAGATTCCCTTTATGTACTCGCATTCACACTTCGACATGTCGTGTCTTTGTCTCTCTATTTTTTCTCATACTCTTTTTCCGTTATCTCCGGTCTCTTTCCTTCTCGCTCTTTACCAACAGCTATTATTATTTTTGTCCAAAAAATTAAATTACTATTATATGTAAAAATAAATACATATAAAAATAATTGGTGGACCAGGTCATCTCAATTCTCATCGCGCTTTCTTTCTTCCTTTCACGTTTCCCATTTCTCTAGATTTTATCCTCCTCACACCCCATTTCTTGACTATCCCAATTCAGTTCCTCATTCTTTCGATCTTTCTCTCTTCTTTCGTACATCTCCAATTCCCGTCATGGCGGATGCTAATGGTTTGTGTCTTTCACCCCATTTATATTTTTATACTCTTTTGCTCTTCTTTTCTGTTCGTTTACTTTCTTGGCTATTATTATCAGATCATGCATATATTTCCCATTTACTGCAAGAAAAAAAATTGTGTGTGTGTGTGTGTGTGAATTGAGTATGCGCTTGTGCCATGGTTTTGCTCATTTACTGTCTGCGACTTTGGACTGAATTTTTGTTTCTAAGGCTGGGTGCGTTTCCTGTTCTGATTCTCATATTTGTTTCTGGGTAAGTCCAGATTTGTTTGTATCACCATTTCCATGAAAATTATAATATTTTATATTCTGGTGCCCCTTGCAACTTGTAAGTGTTTTTTACTAGGACTTGCCTTGATTTTAGCTCAAGAAAGTAGAAAAGTAACTTGGATGTGTTGCAAACACTGAATTCAAGCTATTTAACTACTAACATTGATTTAAATCCCTAGATTTGAGATCCCATATTCCAATTTGTAGAATTCTAATGCTCCACCAACCATCCCTTACGCACAACTTAATCGATCATGTAGCTGCTTTGAAGCAAATTGATTAAAAATGTCGAAAATTTGCATTTTCTTCGCAAAATCTTGTAGATACATGTCTTTTATCATATCCAGTAGTGATGGCAAGACATTTAGTCTTGAAGTAGGGATCGTTTTGTGCCCTTGACTGCAATGTGAATTGGAGCAACCATGAATTACCGTTCTCCATTTCCTTTGAAGACGTGTGAATCTCTCTTCAGTTGTACTTTTACAAGATTATCTTATGCTTTCATTTAGAATTTGTCTGCATTCACTCCTAATTTGTTTGATTTATGAAATTTTCTTTCTTGTGTTCACCCATATATTGTTTTTTTTCTTTTCCTTTTCATGGAAATTCTAGGATAACTGTGTATAAATTGGAAGCATAAACTTGGTTGGAGCCTTGATTGGATAAAATGTTATTTCCTTTACATTGTTATTGCGAGTGCATATAATATAATTCATTGCACTTCTATTGTATATTAATAGGAAATTTCAAAGTGTGGTGTGAAATGTTGGTATTTGTTATATGCATATGGGAACTTTGGGTGCTTTGCTTAATCATAGTTAGCCCTCCTCCATTTGGTAGTGGTGGAAGCGAACGATGGAACCATTTCCGTGGCTTCTGCATTTGCTGCTCATCATCAAGGTAACACCAAATTTGTCTTTTGTCTCGTTACCATTTCCCTTCCCCAATGTGCAATGAAGATTACTATAGTATATAAACAGTCAATAATACACTTTAGGCAGTTGGGCTAGTCTTGCTATCAGCTGTTTTTTTTTTTGGGAAGAACTTAAATATATGGTTTGTATAGATGAGCAATAGAGTTTTTATGCCCCTATTTATATTATTTTGTTGATATTCAATTTGTAACATCTAGCTAAAGAAGTAATATATTTACTTATTTGCCTTGTCAGAAAAGGCGGTACTTTGCAAAATCATCAGATATGGTCTTCATAATTATCATGCTTTGCTTTTCATTTTATTTTTCAACCAGTTGTACAGGATAGAGACCACAAATTCTTAACAGAAGCAGTTGGAGAAGCTTATAAGGGAGTTGAATGTGGAGATGGAGGGCCATTTGGCGCAGTTGTTGTTCGTAATGATGAAATAGTTGTCAGCTGTCACAACATGGTTTTGAAAAACACTGATCCGACTGCCCATGCAGAGGTTACTGCCATAAGAGAGGTTCGACTATTAAATTACTACATTGCCTCATGATGGTGGTTTTGCTTACTGAAAACATGGTGGTAATAATGCCAAAATGGTTAGATCCTTCCCAGCGTGTGTACACATAGACATACTCATGCATATTGGTTTAGGGAAGACTTAATGTCATTTTTGTTTAGTCTTTATAATAAAGTGAGCTTGAAAGTTTCGTGTAAATACCATCTTATTGGTACTGTTTTTTTCTGCTCACTTAAGTGAATTCTGATGCCTAATGTTTTCACCTGATAGCACTTGCCCTTCAGCAGTTGATGTCGAGAGGGACAATGTTACTGTAACAGAAAAACTGATTATACACACACACACACACACAAAAAGGTTTTATGTTCCGTATGGTCATTGTAGAGTTGTAAGCATGATGAGTATGTATATAGATCTTAGCGAATATGTTTCCGAAATCATATCCCATTGTTTTCAGTTTCTACTAGTTTTAGTTACCCCCCTGTTCTTTATTTGATATTGAATTTCTGTCATGCTTTCTATCTTGTGCCTCCAAATGCTTTACGGATTTCATGCTCGAGATAAAAAATTTCCACAGGCCTGTAAGAAGCTCAATCAGATAGAGCTCGCAGACTGCGAAATATATGCATCTTGTGAGCCATGCCCAATGTGCTTTGGTGCTATCCATCTTTCAAGACTAAAGGTCCAATTTTCAAACCTTTTAGCTTCTGCATAGTAATGAGTGGATCACATTGCTATTATGTTTCCATAATTTGTCGTGCCCTTTCTGAACAGAGGTTGGTTTATGGAGCTAAAGCCGAAGCAGCGATAGCAATTGGGTTTGATGATTTCATTGCGGATGCACTAAGGGGCACTGCATATTATCAAAAGGCTCACTTGGAGATCAAGAAAGCTGATGGTAACGGTGCTGTTATTGCTGAACAAGTATTTGAGAAAACAAAGGCGAAATTTCCCATGTATTGATTTTCATGATTCCCTTAATGGTGAAAATTCCACCATAACTGATTGAAGACTCAATTCTGTTATTACAAGACATTTAAAAAATTCAGGAAAAGAAAATTTGGTGGTTTCCTCAATAATGACTTTTCATTATACAGTCAGCTGTTGCATATTGAGAAATTGAAATTTGGAGCTTGTTTTATAAGAAATTTTACATTGCACATTGTTCAAATTAATGGGTACTATGCAAGAGGCTTGTAGCTTAAGTAGTTAAGAGCATTTATCCTTACATCCGACGTCCCAGTTTCGATTCTCCTCCACCTTTATATAAAAAAAACATATATATTGGATATTATAGTCCAATAATTTAACGCTTTTGGCTTGTGGTGGGTCAGCTTGTTTAGCTTTAAATAAACATAATGAGATAGAATTAAACATGGTTGGGAATTTCTTTGGACCAAAAAGTTGGAAGCTCAAAACGACGATCGTATATCTCTAGAATGTTCGAGAATGTTCTGTTTTTTTTATAATTATTTTGGGTCGGTGAAACTCATTCACCAAAGCCCAAAAGTGCCCATAAAATAGTTGCCCAGCAAACCCAAATAAGACAACGGGCCTTCTCTACAAGAATTTTTAGAGAGAGAGAGAGCCCTTTCATTGTTTATCTAAGTTCAGAGAAGCAAAGTGCGGTTCGAGAGAGAGAGGCGCAGAGAGAGGAGGCGAGATCGCGTCCCTGCTTCGACGATGAAGTGGACGACACTCGACAACAGAGCCATGCGGCGCCGGAGAAGGTAAACATGCCATCTTATTCCTTAGAATCTGATTCGAAAATGATTGATCTCAAACCCTAATTGAGTTCGAGGTTTTATGGCGAATGAGGCAATGGATACTTGATTTTTCTCTTAATGTGTATTAGTATTTCTATTCCTTGTTGCTTTCTTTATTTTTTTTTGCGAGAAATAATGGAAGAAAGATAGTCTCTCTCTCTGTTCAGTTCGTGGCATGATTTCTTTTCATGTCTGTTCGGATAAAAAGAAAACGTTAAAGCCCCAATTTTATAATTTGGATCTTAAATTTTTTACTAATTTAAACCCAGCTATTTCCATGATATTTGATTTGGAGAAATTTCAATTTCGTTCATGTATTGACTTGGATGTATTAGTATTTCTATTCCTTGTTGCTTTCTTTATTTTTTTTTGCGAGAAATAATGGAAGAAAGATAGTCTCTCTCTCTGTTCAGTTCGTGGCATGATTTCTTTTCATGTCTGTTCCGATAAAAAGAAAACGTTAAAGCCCCAATTTTATAATTTGGATCTTAAATTTTTTACTAATTTAAACCTAGCTATTTCCATGATATTTGATTTGGAGAAATTTCAATTTCGTTCATGTATTGACTTGGACTTTACAAACTGTGGTTTCAATTGAACTTTTGATGGGCAATTTTGTTTATGGGACATGAAAAACAATACGTGAGAAATTTCGGTTAGAAGAAGAAGAGGTACTACTAGAATTTTGTAAGCTTCTGCAATCAATAAAATTTACTGTGGAGATCTTCTACCCCTTTCATTTCATTCTTCCTCCTATTAACAGTGAATTAAGTGTGTGTTTTTTTGCTCAATGTTGTTGCAGTTTGAAGCTCTGGTCAAGCTGTAGTGAAAGTGGCAACGAGTGCTTCTGTGAAATCTCGTGAGCTTTCGTGAATGTGTGAAAGTGACCCAGACCAGACCGCAAGACCTTGCAACGTTAACGGCCTTCCTGAAATTTTGTCCAACCCCACCCAGCGCAGTTTGACAACCTTCGGCCCAATAACCACCTTGACCCTAGAAGAAAGGATCCTAGAATGGCTTCTTGGCCCAGATTGAAAATATTCAGCTTAATCACAGCCCGGTTTCCAAACGTTTAACCCAACTAAAGCTTACGGAGCCATGCCGCACCGGAGAAGGTAAGCATTCCATCTTATTCCTTAGAATCTGATTCGAAAATTATTGACCTCAAACCCTAATTGAGTTCGAGGTTTATGGCGGATGAGGCAGTCGATACTCGATTTTTCTCTTAATGTGTATTAGTATTTATAGTTGTTGCTTTCTTTATTTATACTTGCGTGAAATAATGGAAGAAAGATAGTCACTCACTCTCTCTCTCTCTGCGTTCAGTTTGTGGCAAGATTTCTTTTCATGTTTGTTTGGACAAAAAGAAAATGTTAAGCCCCAATTTTACAGTGGAGGCATATGTTGACTTTTTATAAATTGGATCTGAAGTTTTTCAGTAATTTGAACCTAGCTAATTCCATGATATTTGAATAGGAGAAATTTCAATTTTGTTCATGTTTTTGACTTGGACTTTAGAATCTGTGGTTTCAATTGAACTTTTGATGGACTGTTTTGTTGATGGAACATGAAAAACAATACATGAGAAATTTTGGTTAGAAGAAGAAGAGGTACTGCTAGGGTTTTCTTTTTTAACATTGTTTTCTGTTTTCAAGCGGAAGAGTTTCTTTGTAATTATATTAGGTTTAGGGTTTGAATTGTTATTTATTCATGAATCTCTTTAAAAATGTGTAATACAGACAGCAGCATGTCTCTCTCTCACATAGTGTTTGTTTGTTTGCCTTCCTCGCCGTGATTATTTCCTGGGGATTTTTAAATCATTAAAATTTACTGTGGAGATCTTCTTCCTCTTTTGTTTCATTCTTCCTCATATTAACAGTGAATTAATTAATGGTATGTTTTTCGGTCAATGTTATGTTGTTGCAGTTTGAAGCTCTCTCTGGTCAAGTTTGGGGCCAATGATTTCGCAATAACTAAGCAAATATAAAGTATGATTTTTGTTGCAGAGCCCTGATGGGTTAACTGTGATTTTGGGAGGGTCTTTGGACCACCGAGCACCGACAAAGCAAGAATCTCCCCTCTGGATGGTTTATTTTAAGCGCAATAACCGTGCCAAGTGCTATTTTTCCTCGAGGTTTTGCTACTTTGGGTCTTTTAACTGAAATGCATCAATCCCATTGGTTAATGATGCATGTAAGTATGATGGTATTGAGCTGTGCAGCTCTTTTGTGTGGACCATTATTATCATTAGCTCTTCTAGTCATTACATTTCAAAAATTCAGAAGGATTTTTAGTAAAATCAATAATTCTCTTATATGAATACAAAATGTAGTTGGTGTATAGAAAAAACCAAATGTAGATGAGCAACTTTGTATTTTGTAGAAAAATAAATAATACATGTTTCTCCAACTAATGCAAAATTTAGTACATACTGCGCGCATTTACTCTCTGTCACATTTTACTGCGCATCACATATAGTTTTGGGCCAATGATTGAGAACTGAGGCCCTTTAAATTTGGGTCCCAATAAAGGCCAAATTTCCAGAACTTAAATAGTGTGGGCCCCATAACTGGGTAGATATAAGTGCAGCCCAATGTCCTGGACATAAGCCTAATACCTTGTAAGTTTAGCCCAATGTAAAGGAAAAGGCCCAATATCCAGGATATAGTGTGTACATGTCGTTTATGGACCCTTCAGCGGGGCTATTTTGTCGTTTATTGGCCATCACTGGGCCTGTTTTGTAGTTTTTGGTTCATCATTGGGCCTATTGTGTTGTTTAGTTTCCTTTTGATGGGCTTATCCCGTCTTTTAGGGATCCTTGAATGGGCCTATTTTGTCGTTTATGTTCATTGGGCCTATTTTGTCAGTTATTGTCTTTTCACTGGGCCTATTTTTGTCGTTTATCGCCTTCTTTGGGCCTGTTTTGTCGGTTATTGGCTTGGCCTGTTTTGTCGGTTATTGTAATTTTGTTGGGCCTAATTTGTCGTTTGTTAATTTTTGGTGGGCTGTCTATTGGGCCTATTTTGTCGTTTATTGGCCATCATTGGGCCTGTTTTGTAGTTTTTGTTTCATCACTGGGCCTATTGTGTCGTTTAGTTTCCTTTTGATGGGCTTATCCCCTCTTTTAGGGATCCTTGAATGGGCCTATTTTGTGGTTTATGTTCATTGGGCCTATTTTGTCGGTTATTGTCTTTTCACTGGACCTATTTTTGTCGTTTATGGCCTTTTTTGGGCCTGTTTTGTCGTTTATTGTAATTCTGTTGGGCCTAATTTGTCGTTTGTTATATCTTTGGTGGGCTATCTATTGGGCCTATTTTGTCGTTTATTGTCCATCATTGGGCCTATTTTGTCGTTTACGGGACTGTATTGGGCCTATTGTGTCCTTTATGTGACTCCACTGGGCCTGTTTTGTCCTTTACTGTCTTTTCGGTGGGCTTTTTTGTCGTTTATGGGGACTTCATTGGGCCTATTTTGTCTTGATGTGGCCGTCATTGGGCCTATTTTGTCTTTATGTGGCCTTCATTGGGCCTATTTTGTCGTTTATGGGACTCTATTGGGCCTATTTTGTCGTTTGTGAGACTTCATTGGGCCCATATCGTCGGTTATGGGATTCCATTGGGCCTATTTTATCGATTTTTGGGCCTCTGGGGTGCTTATTTTGTCGTTTAATGGCGTTTCATTGGGCCTATGTTGTCGTTTATGAGCCTATAGTGGGCTTACTTTGTCATTTGTGGGTGATTCAGTGGGCTTACTTTGTCTTTTATGCTCTCACGTTAATGGGCTGAAACCCGGGGGCTGTTTCACTTTTGGAGCAAACTTCTGGGCCTCTTTTAACACTATTGGCCCAACTTATGGGCCCTTTAGAACCGAAATTAACGATTTAGTCTCACATTTCGAACACCCTATGGAACATCCAGGTGGGAAAAGTTCAGCAGATACAGCAATAATATGGCCCAACTTTTAGTATTTTTGCAGGAGTAAAATATAGCCGATCTCTAACCCCGGATGCATCTAATACACTCCTCAACTAACCATCACAAAATGGCAACTACTATACCACTGCATTGAATATCAACACCACATTCAAATCTCCAAAAGAAATTGGTCAGATTACTGAGGACTTAAACCAAAACCCCAACATTTTAAGAGATTCCAAGACTAACAATCCACATATAAATATAACTGGTTAAGGCCAAAGTCTTAGACTCAGGGTGGCATAAAATAAGAATTCAATTCATGGTGACTCAGTGTATGAGATCTGTCTCAGCTTTGAACGAATTTCAAACATCAAAGAAAATCCTTTGAAATACACAATTTCGTCTAAACACACATAAAATAAATCAAGATACATAGATAAAGCTAGTTCATGTCTAGCTACAGCTATATACATTACGTACACGTCTTTTATGAATTTACTCTACGTAACTAACACAAGTATATATGCATATGCCTGCCTGTACACACGTGTAGTTCTAAAGATAACCATAGCTAGTAAAGTAAAATCCTAAATTAAATAATAACTATGTGCAAGTTTGAAGACAGATCTTGTCTCAAGTGTATGACTCGCTGTCTTACTTACATATCATAGCTTTCAAGGTCTTGAAAAAGAAAGGAACAAATAAAAACCTTAAACATGAAATAAAATAAAACTCCAACATCAAACATGTCAAAACTGATAATACACCAATATCTAGTGGCTTAGCCCAAGTAGGTATGAAATGAATATTCATCAGCTTTCCATAAGCTAGGAAAAATCTAAATGATCAACTCACAAAAATAAAAACAGCTCTAGATTAGAAGGGTAAATGGGAGGGCATATCATGACCAAGAAGAAGTTCAGGCCTTTAGAACATACGGTGATTTCTAAATTCCTTCTACCTGCAATCCCGTAAATGAAATCTCCAGATTTTTAACACATGATTACAATCAAACGCAATAAATAAAGTGCCTGACTTGATCAATTTTTTGTCAAAAAACATATCATCTACATCAAGATACAGTAAGGAAACGAAAATTTTCTCATCTATAAATTATTTCATCAATTATCTACACATGTCTAAAGCATATGAACAAAACTATCAAAAGACTAAACAATCATCAGAAAATAATTATTCAACAACTGTTCTATGAAACCAACAAAGACGAAAATTCGAAAATGCGAACACCAGCTGCACCATCAACCATTTGATCAGAGACCACGCAAATTTATATGAACAAAAAATTCAAGATTCGAGGAAAGTCCCACAACTTACTAGCAATGCCAACCTTCAATCTGAAGCCCACATGGATTCATCAGCCTCGGCTGGATCGTAACTCCTCCAATGCAACTTTTATCTGATTTTGAACCAACTCCAATCGCTTGGAGTACACCTCCAACTCCAAAATCTGCTGCTTCCTCCACTTCTCATCTGCCCCTTCACCACCACCAAAATTCAAATTCATGGACGGCCCGCCGAAGCTCAATGGAATAGGATTCAATGACAACCCTCCGAACCCTCTAGCTGACCCGCCGCCCATTGCACTACTCAGCAACTCCTTGAACAATGGAGACAAACAACTCTTCACCGTCTCCTCAATCAACCCGTGAACATTACAATTGCTGCAACTATTACCACCACCACCACCACCATGGTTACTGTTATTAATGCTGTTGTTATTATCTTTAATTACAGGCGATGGCTCAACGAAACCTCCACGGGACGGTGGCGGTTTTTCTTCGGCTCTAAGCTGCGTTCGCGAGCGCTTGCGCGATCTCGGCGTGGACTTCTTATCGCCGGCTAAACCAGCAGCCTCCTCGTTCTTAATCTCATAATTGTTGAAATTGGGATTGTTAGGGTTAGGGCTCGGATCTTCATCGTCCAAGGCGTTATCGTCGGGGCCGATACGGCCGATATTGCTCCAGAGCTTGCGGGAGATCTCGAACGTGGCTTGATCGTGAGGGCTCTTGAAGCTAACTTCTTTGCCGCTGGCGATTTTGTTGAGGACGTTCCGGTACTTTTTCTTCAGCCTCCGGAGCTTCTCGACGAGCTGGTTCTTGTTGAAGTCAAGCTGGAGCTTGGACTTGATCTGGTCGTAGAACAAGGCGGTGTCGTTTTGGCCGTGGTGCGAGCCTTTGTTGCCTCGCATCGTCGTGTAGTCGAGGAAGCCTTGCAAGAGCTCGATCTCATCCTCGTCGGTCCACAGCCTCTGGAAGAGTCTCCGAGAGTCGTCGAGGGCCGCCGGCTTCTTCTCTTCGGGCTGGGGGGACAGAACGGCGTGTCGTTTGGGATCGGAGGACAATACGGCGTCGTTGGCGATTACGGTAGTTGCGGTGGAGGTCGTAGTGGCCAGAGCTAAGGGAGGGGGTTCCCGAGCGGGCAGGGCAACGGTGACGGTGGGAGTGGCGATGGCGACGGGGAGAGAGTCGGTGGCACCGGCGGAAGAGGTGGAAGGGGAGGCAGAGTTGATGACATCATCATTTAGGACGTCGTCGTCATCGTCGACGTCATCTTCTTCCTCGTCGTCGTCGACGACGTCGTCTTCTTCCTCGTCGTCTTGGGAGGAGGAGGAGAGGTCCCCTTCGGGCAGAACGGCGTCGTCTTGGTCGGGGGCCATTCCTCAGCTAGAATGGGAATTTTGGTAAAAATTGGGGGGGGTGAGGTAAGCAAAGTGTTTTGGTGGAAAAAGAAGAACAGGAAGAGAGAGAGAGAGAGAAGTAGTTGGGGTTAGGCCGAGAGAGAGGGAAGGACGGAGGCAAGTGGGGTTGGAGTTGGGTTGGTTCACGAGGTTTTGGTTAGCCTTATTTTTATGCGTTGCGTGTTGGAGTGTTGATGAAATGAAAGGGTGGACCTGACTTGGTGGTGGTGCTTTCTTTGGTTTGGTTTTGGTTTGGTGTCGTGGGAGAGAGAGAGAGGAGGACCCAACTTATATGGACCCACACACCCACGCCACTTCCAACTAATCAATTCCTAAATATTGGCAAATCCGTCGTCGTATCCAATTATTTCAGTTTTTGAATTTACGGATCCAAACCAAATCCGCTAAGTCATCAAAATAAATCAAAATTTTATTAAATCCACCGATTTTGAACACCCCTAACCATCAAAACAAATTAACGCATTAGTTTGTAAAAGATCCACTAGTATAGTAATTTAGAGTATTTACTCGTTCAAGCAAAATTATGGGTTCGAGTTCTAACATATTGTAGTATGTGTGAATTTAATAAAACATTTCCCTTCTCAATAAGAAAGCTCCTCCAAAAAAAAAAAATTAGCTATGAAAGAAAAGAAATTTGAAATTAACTATATGACTAAAGTCAGAGTGTACCGTCTCAACACAAACAAGAGGCAACTCCTATTTAAAAGGAAAATGAATAAAATGGGTTGGGCTGCAAGCAATGCAACTTCATGGGAAATGGCTTCTGGAATTGTTTTACAATCATCTTCATTGGATCAGCTTCTTTCAGGAAAAAAACAAAACAAAAAATATTGCAAGTCAAGTCACCTATTTGATCATCTAAACCCTATGATATGAGCTTGTTCACTACATGTTTCGAGCATGCACCTACCAAATTCAGATCATGAACAAGCGTAGTGTATATGACTTGGTCCAAATTGTATGGCCGCAGCATTATGTTGAGAGCTGGGTGGTATAATTGATTGAGCAAGTGACTATATTCAACTACTAACACAAATATCGAATAAATTTAAATGGATGATGTCATAAACCGTACGTGTTATGTGTCACTACAACTGTACAATATCTTAGTTGGTAGAAATATAAACGAATTTTTGCCTGCACTGATGAGATCATATACAAGATACATGATTACAAAAAAAAAATGAAATTGTTTATCTAGAATTTTCTAATCACATCAACGATAATTATTGACAAAATTAAACTAAAAGTTTGTTGAGAGCGGTACTTGTTTTGGGAGGTGAATACAATCCTCACGTAAAAAATTAGGTAATGGGCATGCAAGGCAGGGGACATGAGCCATTATCGGATAGTGGCCACCATTATTGTTCCTCCATTCACCATCCATTCCTCTATAACGTTACTATCATTTCTAATTACGCTATTCTTATCAACAAATTCTTCTTAATCATTAATTATGAACTAATTAATAATTATCTAGCTTAACCTAAAATGTACAAACTCCAAAACCGAAACTGCAATTTCTCTCAGACGCAGACCAAGCCACTCAAGGAGAACATCCGGAACAACTTCTCTCTGGTTTGGTCTGCTCTCTGCAGGGTCTCGTCTCTTTTAATTTATAAAAAAATAAAAATAATGGCATGGCCGCCATTGCTTAGTTGGATCCTATCTTCTTCTTCTTCTTCTTCTTCTTCCTCAGAGTATGAATCCGACAACAACGACGTTGAAGATTTAGGAGGAATTAATGATGTCCCCGACAACAACCCAAAATCACAAAATGACAATATTGATGATCATGAAAACGACGACGTCTCATACGAACCGCAGGAGGAGGATCAAAACTCCAACTCCACCTCCGACTACACCTTTACAGTATCCGAACCCAGCGCAAAACGACGACGCATTGATCGCACATATGAGCCAGCATTGACGTCCGAAGCACCAGAGGAAAACAAGAAACGGCGTCGTAAAAGGGTGTGGAGCAAGGAGGACGAGCTGGAGTTGCTGCGGAGTTTGCTTGACGACTACTACAGCAGGGGACAAATTAGAACCACCGTGAAGGACACGGCGTCGTTTTACGAAGAGGTTAAGCCCAAGTTAAAGCTGGAATGTAACAGGGCCCAAATGGTCGAGAAGCTGAGGAGATTGAAGAAGAAGTACCACAACGTCGTAAACAAAATGAACGACATGAACTCGACTGGCAAAGAGTTCCGCTTCAAAAACCCGCACGACAAGGTCGTTTTTGAACTTTCCGACAAGATTTGGAACGTCGTAGATTCGCATGAAGATTATGCGCCAATTTCTAAGTACGTTAGTATTTGCAACAATGTTAAGGTGAAAAAGGAGGAGGACAACGTGGGTAGCAGCAGCGTTGCAGATCATGAACGGCCACAGATGAGACACACGTGGTCGCATTCTAGGCTAACAACAACGTATGATGAGAACAATAAGGCTTGTGATGTTTTGAATGATAATGGAACGACGTCGTTGTTGAATATTAATAATAATAATAATGTGGATGATAATATGAAGAATGATATACCAGGGTTGATAATTGGGGGGCTGGCTATGAATCCATTACCTCTGAGTTTAAGTAAATTTGGAAGTGGGGTTGAGGTGGCGGATGAGAAGTGGAGGAAGCAGCAGATTTTGGAGTTGGAGGCATACTCTAAAAGGTTGGATTTGGTGCAGCATCAGGTTAAGGCAGCTTTGGATGAATTGCGGTCCAAGGGAGTTGAGTAAAAATTGTTTTCAATTTATATAGTTTGTAAAATTCTTTTGGGTTGAATAGGATAGACAAATTTGTTGTTCTTGATTTGATATAGTAATTGTTAAACTAAATAACAATTCCTAGAATAATTTAGACATGTATTAATTTTGTGATTTATTCAACTGTCTAAACAATTCGAACACAGGACCTTACGTGTAAGGATAAGTGCTCTTAACCAGTTGAGTTACAAGTTCCTTCTTGGTCGGTGGCAGGGGCGTTTCTAAGTTAAGCTACCCAGCTCAAATTTTTCCTAAAAAATTATTGAACGGGCAGCTTCTCTCCTCTTGTCTTGTCTACAGCAACTTCTCCTCCTTTCTATAGCAACTTCTCCTCTACTTCTCTTGACATATAGACATCAACTTCTCCTCTTGCTAGCAACAATTAATCTTCTCATTCTCTCCTTTTTAATTATCTTATGCATCTTTATGTTGAAATTGAGTATTTTAGGGTTTAATTAGGAATGAATTAAAATTTGGGGATTTTGTTAAAATTAATTAGGACTTTGATTTTTGAAATTTTGTTGAAATGTTTGATTTGATGTTGGTATTGTTGAGATGTTTGATTAAATGCATGGATGCTATTATGAGAATTGGTTTATTTTTGTTGAGATGTTTGATTTATCTTCTTGGCAAAATCTTCCTAAATCTCCCATTGTTGAGTCTCAAGTTGAAAGAGTTGAGAGTCAATGATGATCAAGATTTTAATATCAATTATTTAAGTGTGATCCTAGATTACATTGTCTAGTTTTAGTTTTTGCATTAGTTAAACTTTTATTTATTGAAAGACATGCATTTGCGGGTAAGGATCATTACGTCCCTCTGACTATGTGTATCTTTATATGTTTATTAACGAAATCCACTCGTAATGTCGAGTTTAGTATGTATATAAGTTTTGCCCGATCGACTTTCGAATCCTGAAACCTCGATGGTGACAACTTTATTGTTACTCGTTTGTTTTGTTGGGTTTTGGGTATTTGGGTGTTTGGGTTTTTAGATAGTTGGACTGAAACCCAAAACCCGGCCCATTTTCTTGAATCCACTTACAATCTCACACCTTCCCCACCTTATCCAACTCTCTGTTTCAAAGCAAGCATATGCCCTTCAATGGATCCCTTTGTGAGCTTTCTCCTCCACCCAGATGCACGCACATAACTTGAAAAACAACAACTTTCCCATTAAACCATTTTCTCTGTACACTTTGTGCTTCTTTGAATAACAAAGAGGCACTAAGTCACATCCATCTCCACTATCACCATTCATGGCTTGTGCAACAACAAGACCCACCTTCTCTTTCCACCTCTCAACCTCTTTTTCCCAACATTCTCATCCAAAACCCAAAACCCAATTCACAAACCCAACTCTCCTTCCCAAGATCCCAAGCATATCACTCTCACTTACTCACAAGCTCCATAAACCAAACAATTTGACTACAAACTCTATTGATGTCTCTAAAGAAGATAAACCAACATCAGATGAGCCTGCTTCTCCTCCTCCCACCTCCTATATAGAGCCAGAGCCAGAACAAGAAGAAGCAGCAGAAACAACATTTGATAAGCGCAGGCTTGAAGAGAAGTTTGCAGTTTTGAATACAGGGATATACGAATGCAGGTCTTGTGGGTACAAATATGATGAGGCAGTGGGAGACCCATCATATCCAATCCCACCAGGATTGCAATTTGATAAGTTACCTGAGGATTGGAGGTGCCCAACATGTGGGGCTGCACAGAGCTTCTTTGTGAGTAAGAGTGTGGAGATAGCTGGGTTTGCTCAGAACCAGCAGTTTGGGCTTGGTGGAAATGCACTCACTTCTGGCCAGAAGGCTGTGCTCATATTTGGGGGCTTGTTCCTTTTCTTTGTGCTTTTCTTGTCTGGCTATTTTCTGCAATAATGAATGGGAGGGAGGTATGATATGAGCCCTTTTTCTTTTATATGTGAAAATATAATAATTCAAGTCACTTGAGTAACCAGAGAGGTATAGTATCTTTTGTTTCTGAGAAGGTTTGTGTATTGAATTGTGGCATAGGTTCCGTCCCATGGACATAGCATTTCAAACATTGTGATGTGAAAAGAACCTCTTTTACATTTGTATAATGTCAAAGCTTGACTTTTTGGGGGAAACATATTGTTCTTCAGTGTCTTGGTGCTTATGAAAATGCATTGAGTTTGAACAATCAACAAATCTCATTCAATTTTATTTGAACAATGTCCAAAACAGGGTTGTTAATTTGATATACCTTGATCATCATTTTCTATTACTTTCAAATGGCTTATATCTTATACACATCGCATGAGTAATCTTTTGAGAAAGTGAAGAAAACGAAAACATAAATACACGAGCAGAGCACCAAATCCCATTCCATTTAACTAACCCTGTTAAGATTCTGGAAAATAAATAAATAAAAAGAAAACCCTGTTGTGATATCAGATCATAATTTAAAATAAAAATCCAGGTGCAAAAGGAAAACACTAATAGATACAGCGTATATTCCTGAAGGGAAAAGAAACAAATTCCTTTTGGATGACATAATCCCCTACATCCTAATGAACATATCAACCCTATTTCTGATTGGGTAAGCGCCTTCTCAAATTCTTCCTATGAAACTATAACAACAGACCGCAACTATGTACGCATATTTTACAAACTACCCAACAAATAGTTAATGATATATGCACCGCCATAGCCAGTTAGTACAATCTGTTGAGAGTTTCTGCAGAAATCTCAACCGTATTAATGTAACAAACCATCCTTTTGTGGTTCCCGTGCTACTGGCTGCGCAAATCAGGCAAGCCGAATCACTTTAGCAACAAACCACAGCGTCAACCTCTTGTTGCCATGTGCTACATATACACTCACGAAGCTAGTCTTAGTGCCCTCCCCTTGGCCACAAGGTAAGATAAGTTTAGTATTCTGTGTGGGGGCACCTCTTACAAAGAACCAGGCAACATCACACAAATCCAGATGAATCACTCCCAGTCTGGTCTCCAGCATCCGACATATCCTGGGGAGCACGAGTCTTAACCTGATACACCTTCTTGACTGGCTGCTGCTCATATGCTCCGCCAAATCCAGTTTCCTGTTGCCTATTATATAACCCACCGTTTGCAGTTGATTCTTTGTTAATCCACTTGGGAGGCGGCGAAGGAAGAGCACCCTGCGCAAACTGGTGTTGTGGGTTTGTGGAGTACCCTGAATTTGGCATCCCTGGTTGCCCAGCAGGAGATCTGGTTCTCACACTTTCTTCCATTGTTAAACTAGACATCCCAGTTCTCAAGCTATGGTACTGTTCTTGATATTGTACTCTTTCTTGTGTCCTAAAACTCTGTTCTTGATATTGGACTCTTTCTTGAGCTCTAAAACTCTGTCTGTCACCCTGCATACCATTTGAGGAGGGAAATCTAGGCCTAGCCATGATGCCCTGAGGAGTGAAGGAGTTTCCATACTTTGCTTCTTCACGGAAGCCCCTTTCATACCCAGAGGGCCCAGCTGGTCTTGGTCTATTGACTGGATAGTTTCCTGGAAAATTACGTAGCGGTTGTTGGTCCCAAAATCCCGAAGCTGAATTATTAGATCTAATATTAAGTGTGTTCTTGACAAGTCGATGAGCTGCTTCTCCCAACATAGGTCCAGCAATTGCTCCAGGTACTTGTGGCCTGTTAAAACAAACGCACCACAATTAGAAACCACTATCCAGAGTCCAGGGTTACAATTATAAGATTAAGATTCTCGGGTATTCCTGATTTAAAATCTTGTAAGCTAAAACCTGAAAAAGAAAGACAATAAGAATTTTGCCACATCAAAGTTAGAATATTTACCTCTCTCTGCCTTGCTGGCGTCGACCATTGTCTTCATGCCATAATGCAGGGGCTGGTTTGATGTCCATAGGTTTTACAACCTGAAGACAATTAAAAGAAAATTTCAATCATATTCATACCCAAAGATTTACGGTAATATAAAAAATAATAGAACAAAAAGAAAGGAGGCACAGACAAGTGAAGCATATTTCCCAACCGTCTTAGCATCTACAAAAACATAAAATTATCCCTTCTTGAAAACATTTGAAGGGAGCGGTTTCAAGATAAATCAACACAGGGAGTGATTTTAAGAAAAGCCCAACTCATGTATAGCTGTTATGTTCTTTGACATTGAAAGAAATGACAAGCTAAGTTATAGCAATATCTTCTAGACATTGTCACATTAGAAGATTCACAATGACCACAAAAACATAATACTCTTCATTTATACAAAAAGTGAAGCAACAAAAGACCAACCACAGGAACCTGATATGTCCCAAACTCTAACAGGAAGCATACCACACACACCATGCCATGTAGTAATGAATAAAAACTCTGTAAGACTTGAGAAAGAATTTTAAAGAGAATCACATACCTTTTTGGGCATGACCACACCCTGGGGAGGTTCTGGGATGTGTTTATGAGCTACAGGATTAAGATAGGTAACATTTCTGCATATAAAAACTGCCCACTATGAAACACTATCCTCTTTAAATACTCAGACGACAACAGTAGGGGCTCTACTTACAAGACTTGGTTATAATCAATGTTCGGATAACCACGAACAGGGGAAGGGATTACGTATCGAACACCATTTCTCTCGGATAACCAAAGGTATCCATTCATTCCACCACTGAAAAGGTAAACACAAAGCAATGGTAATAACTCCGGTGAGTTTCAACAATGACAATTAGACCACAAGTCCACATAAACAGCTGCCAAATTAACCAACCTAGCAATTGGGTTTATCGCCCATGCAAATCTTTCATGAGGGGGTGACTGATAATAATGTTGGTAGTACAAATTAATTTGAGCCGCCAAAGGATGAGAAGGATAGACATAAAGCAAATCAAGCATCACACTATTCCGAGCCTGCTCTTCCTCCTGCATATAACAGATAGAGTATAAGCACTCAAAATGTAGAAATGGAAGGCCACTTCATCTTAGTTATTGCAGTCCAATGGTAAGATAAGTAATAGGCTCATCGCAGCCCACCACACAAGATCTTTAACTCCTCTAATCTGACCCAAATGGAATCCATTATCCCAAAGATCAACAACTTCCCCAGCCCACCATATAAGCCATTTCTAACAAAAAATATAGCCAATAATTTCAAAACTTTTTGTCCAGAGCTCGAAGAGATTGGCATGATATATCATTTTATTCTCAGAACCAGAGAATTCAGTTTACATAGTGGTATATTTTTCCCCAAAAAACCATGATTGTGCTCTTAAATTAAATACAACTCTTGCAAACCACTATAATTTCCCAAAAGCTTAAAGCTTTCTTTAAACAATTGGTATACTAAAGCCTTGTAAGGGGTTTAAAGCTTTCAATCAAACATGTGAACATCATGTATAACGAAAGCAAAAAATATTAGGAGTACAAATACAAGATGTTCCAGACCGTTAAAGTGCTTTCAAGCCTCCTTGTCTGGGCAAGCAATTTCTTCTCATCAATGAATGGCAATTTGGCAACACCCTGACTTCCAAACACACACATAAAGTGATACAATTACAATTAGTTTACCCCCAAAGAAAAAAGAAGTTCGACGAATGAAAAAAAATATACAGTACTACACAAGAACGTACCTGCCATGCAAAGCGCTTGCCATTCATGTCAACCTCAAAATCTGGAGTGAGATATTTGAAAAAAAATTATTGAAAAGGATATAACTTCATAAGATATAATGATTTGTACAACTAATGTACAACTAATCAAGTTTACCAGAAGGATAGAAATCATAGATTGGTGATGATTGATCAGTCATCAAATTTCTGTATTTTTCCGGAAGAGCACTAGAGCTGTAACATGGGAACACCAAGTTTACCATTACTACATCTAGCATGAATAATAAGAAATATTTTCTTCTTATACATAATGAAAAGTTTTTCGAATGAATTTAAAGCCACACAGAGAGAGAGAGAGAGAGACCTTGCAGCCGGTAAGGTTCCCATGAGCTGATCAAAGGGTTTAAATGGCTCTCCCAAGAAAAACGTTATTTCTAATTCATCTAAATCTTTTAGATCAGAAGCAAAAGGGGCATAATGATATGGGTAGTACCTGAAACAAACAGATACAAGCACAGTTATTGAAAATGAACTGGGCACCAACCCAGTCAACGAGTTCGCTCATCAGTTCGCCATCCAACTTTCAGGTAGAGCAGTCAGACCTCCAGATCATTATAGCATACCAACAGATACCTTATGTAAACTAACTTAGACAGATATGGTTTAAAGTATAGGATCCATGTTCAAGTTCAACACCATAATGGTCCAACAACTTAGTGGTTCGATAGCATTTACCTATTGTTTTATAACAAAAGGAAAGATACCATAGTTTTATGACATTCAACAGGCGAAAGGACCTGTCCTTTGGCCTCCAGGTCAAAATACCAAGGTTACCTAAAACTATCCGTATTTGAAAATCATAACATAATACCAGGATCCATAATGAACCAATGGTTGAATGGTACATTGATCAGGTTGAACAGTCCCAATTGCTCAACTGGTCCCACTAAAAGGGTAACTTGAGTCAAAGTCCTTCACTCTGTCTGGCCTGAGCTAATTTGGATCATAAGGCAGAGGTGCAGTATCCTGTTACTCACAAAACAGAGAGTACATGTAACATGTCTGCCGTATGTTGTTCAATTACCCATTCGGATAAGCATAGGAGATTTAGCTTTTTTAGTGGGACATCCTTAAGGGATAGGTGGAAATCATCCTAACAGCAGGATTCAAGAATATATATATATACACAAATATACAATATCGTATCTCAGCAATGAGATGAGACAAAGTAGATAAAAGGAACCAAAACATTTTCCAAGCAAGTCGAACTAACCATTGCCATGAGCAGACCCCTTGGTAGTAATATCGGCAGACCCAACATAAGCCTTCTACATATTTTAAAACCTGCAAAGAAATGTACACATTTTAGCATGGAGTAATTTAATACTTGTATCATCGAACTAGGCAGAAACAGCCAAAATAAGATGAAAAGCTTTTGATTTGGAACAGCCTCAACAATGTAACTGAGTCAATATACAACCATATTCACTACCAAAATAATATGAACAGAAATGGCTCGCGTGAGGGAACATACTA